GATGAGCTCTTCATATAATTTAGATTAATCAATTTTTCATTCCTTCAGAAAAAGTTATAAGTTCATTCTTATTAATTTTTTCATTATATCTTACCCTAGTAGTAGTCAATAAAGATGCAACTCTCCTGGAAAGATATCCCAACTGTTCCAACAGCCAATGATATGTTGGACATAGTTCTTAACAGAACTCAAAGAAAGACTCCAACTGTTATAAGACCGGGATTTAAAATCACTCGTATTAGGGCATTTTACATGAGAAAGGTTAGATTCACAGCAGATGGATTTGCTGAAAAATTCACTGATCTTATAAGTGGATTCCCAAACATTAATGACGTTCATCCATTCCATCGTGATCTTATGGATACATTATATGAAAAGAATCATTATAAGGTTTCGTTAGCAGCAGTTTCAAGAGCTAAAACTTTGATTGAACAAGTTTCCAGAGATTATGTTAGATTATTGAAATTCGGTCAATCTTTATATCAATGTAAGCAATTAAAGAGAGCTGCATTAGGTAGAATGGCAACTATTGTCAAGAAGTTGAAAGATCCATTTGTCTATCTTGAACAAGTTAGACAACACTTGGGTCGTTTACCAAGTATTGATCCTAATACCAGAACCTTATTGATCTGTGGTTACCCTAACGTTGGTAAATCATCGTTCTTGAAGTGTATCACCAAGGCCGATGTTGAGGTTCAGCCTTACGCTTTCACAACCAAGTCCTTATATGTTGGTCATTTTGATTACAAGTATTTGAGATTTCAAGCTATCGATACCCCAGGTATTTTGGATAGACCAACTGAAGATATGAATAATATTGAAATGCAATCTATTTATGCTATTGCTCATTTGAGATCATGTGTCTTATACTTTATGGATTTATCCGAACAGTGTGGTTTCTCTATCGAAGCCCAAGTCAAGTTATTCCATTCCATCAAGCCATTATTTGCTAACAAGTCAGTTATGGTTGTTATGAACAAGACTGATATCATTAGAGTTGAAGATTTGGAAGAAGAACAACAAGAATTATTGAAATCTCTTTCTACAGTTCCAGGTGTGGAAATCATGCATGCCTCATGCCACGAAGAAGATAACGTTATGCAAGTTCGTAATCAAGCTTGTGAAAAATTATTGACTGCTAGAATTGAACAAAAGTTGAAGGGTACTGCTCGTGTCAATAATGTTTTGAATAAGATTCATGTTGCTAGACCTCAAGCTAGAGACGATTTGGATAGATCTGCTCACATTCCTGACGCAGTAAAGGAATTAAAGAAATATGACGCAGAAGATCCAAACCGTAGAAAATTGGCCAGAGACATTGAAGCCGAAAATGGTGGTGCTGGTGTATTTAACATCAACTTGAAAGATAAATACTTATTGGAAGACGAAGAATGGAAGAATGATATTATGCCAGAAGTCTTAGACGGTAAGAATGTTTACGATTTCTTGGACCCAGATATTGCTGCCAAATTGCAAGCCTTAGAAGAAGAAGAAGAGAAATTAGAAGCTGAAGGTTTCTACGACTCAGACTCGGACATTGAAGATGAAGAAGTCGACGAAATCAAAGAAAAGGCTAATTGGATCAGAGACAAGCAAAAGAAGATGATCAAGGATGCCAGAAGCAGAAAAGCCTTGAAAAACCACGCTATTATGCCTAGAGACCAAATCAAGAAGTCTTTTGGCGAAATGGAAGAACATATGTATTCTATTGGTCACGACACCACTGCCTTGAGAAGCCGTCTTGGTAAGACTTCCGACGACCGCAAGAACGTCTCGGGTGTTGATATCTTGAAGAGAAACCAAGGTATTTCTGATGCCAAGATCAGTAAGAGAAAGGCCCCAGTCAAGCAATCCGATCGTCTTAACGATGGTTTGAATGATGGTGCATTGAGATCCCAAGCCGAAAGATTGGCCAAGATCCAAAGAAGAGAAAGAAACAGAATGGCAAGACAAGGTGAAGGTGATCGTCATTCTACTGCTATGTTGCCTAAGCATCTTTTCTCAGGTAAGCGTGGTATTGGTACCAATGATCGTCGTTAAGCATTTTTTATTATGGTTTATTTCCACATTTTTATTGAAATCATTTTCGTTCAGTCCTTCGTTAGTTTATAAATTCACTTTTTATACATTTGTGCAATAGGTTATTATCATTTAGATTACTATCTACTATTAATATACATATTATAATTCTAAAATCTAATTATGGTGGTGGTTGTGGTGGTGGTTGTGGTATGAAGTCTCGTGATTGACCGTTTTCCGGTTATCTTTTTATCAATCGTTCATTGATTAGATAAGGACATAAGAACATAATAGGATACCCCAAACACTATTGACTCATACTTTAATCTTATATTATAGGCTACTTAGGGATTTTGCTATTTAACTATAAACGTAAAGAATATATTCATACGGACTTTAAAATTAAATACAATCTTATCCGTAAACCTTATCTTGAATCTCATAATTAATTATCTGAGTATTAATTATCCGAGTATTAATTATTGATATACGATTACAACACCAAATTTAGACACCTTACACTCGTGGATATTCCCAGAACTTCCAGAAAATTCTAAGGAGGACAGATAATATTGAATATCGGAACTACGATATGAATACTTTTGATTTTACGACTGTTTCGTCGCAGCTTCCACCTAATACAGGCCCACCGGGCACAGTTCCAACAAATAATGGGAACGGTAGTTCGTCCAACACCAACAAGAACTTGAGCCATGTTCCGTGCAAGTTCTATAGACAAGGTATTTGTCAGGCAGGAAGTTCATGTCCATTCTCACATAACTTTGATGGGAGTTTAGCAGCTGAGAAACTACCTTGCAAGTATTTCCAAAAGGGAAATTGTAAGTTTGGACTCAAATGTGCTTTAGCACACTTTTTACCGGATGGAACCAGAGTAAACTCCAAAAGCTTACGGATGTCTCAGCCTATCAATACAAATGTCGCTAATGGGAACGGTCACCTTCGTCGCTCTTCGAACAATATGAATAATGTGAGTTTTAATCATTACACTTCGCAGCCGATAGATATAAATGCTGAATCTTTGGAGCATATTGGGCCTCAAAGTAACAGTATGGTTTCTCCAAGCAACAATGTTGCACAGTTTCTTAATGTGGGTCATAAGTTCCCATCGCAACCAGGGTCGTATACCCAAAGCTTAACTAGAAATTCTTCGTTTAACTCTAGTCTTTCTGGGTTACCAAATTCGTATACTAATGGCAGTACTAGTGCTTATAACAACCTTCCTGTGAAATCTAGTAACCAATCTTCGGCGTTCTTTAGATCATATTCAACGAATACTTCGCCACCGAACCAGACTACATCTCCGTTCTACAGTAATTCTTCCAACATAGCTACAGGGGTGAGTCAATCTCCACTTAATACCCCATTTTCAGATAAGGCTACAAATCCTTTCTCAATAAAACTCGCTTCTCGTTCGTCATTTTCATCGCCAACATGCTTACAAAACTACGATTCTGCAGTTATTGATGACGAAGACGAAGAAATGTATAACGATAGTGGCTATTTCGAAGATTATGTTCCAGGATCATTAAGTGATTTAATTTTAACGCCGCAAGAGATGCAGAGACGTGATTCTAGATCCCAGTCTGGTACTTTACTTGTAAGGCCCAATCTAAGCTCTACATTAAGCTCAAATACGAATGAAGAAGACGAGAAGAAGGAGGATAGAACTGAGTCGAAGGATGATTCGAAGGACAAATCTGAGAAAATCTCTACTCATGATGATGTGTTTTTGATGGATTGAATGAATTGTATCTTCGTTTATTAGATTTTGTTCTATTTTATTTTAATGGGTACTTGAAACTTTGGGAATGCTTAAAAAGTAACTTCTTTACTTCTGGATCATTTTTGTTTTTTGCTAAATATACATGGATATATGTGACTGGTTTCTATGACTAGTTAAGTCATTGATTTCACATATGTTACGTTATAAGTTTTTGAATTTTTATTAACATATTCTTTATATTAAATACGTATATGCTTGATAGTTTACGAGATATATACATTCAAATGGACAACTTTTATAAAGCTATATACAACGGTTAATCCTTCTTACCCTCGATTTGCTTTTTTGGAGCAGCTCTGAAGATATCAGCACAGCTAACTTGGAAGCTAGCCATGACTTGAGAATTGGTAAAGTTGATCTCAGGTTGCACACCTCTAATATGATCAGATTCGAATAATGAGCCGACAAGTGCCATCTCATTAGTGAAAGGGTTCATAGTGTAAGCCAAGTAATTTTCAACCGAGCTCTCTGTCACTTGTGGTTCTTTACTGTTAATTGTGGTAATGGTAAATTTTTGCCTAGTTTTAACTTGAATAACAAACTGAACCAAAGCAGTGATGTTATTCGCATCAGGTAACGCATTGAAAGATACAATCTTTGGGTTAGATTCAATCTTTAAGAGCTCCCATTCCAATTTCGAATTTGGTGGGAATGTACTAGCTCTGTTAACTAAACTCTTGGTGACTTCACCACCAGTGACACCTTCCAATTGACTTCTAAGGTAGTTTTCTCTCTTTGCACTAGGAATGGAACAAGATGCTGCAAAAATCTTATTCGTTTTGACAAGCTGTTCCACAGCCGTGTCTTTCCACTGGTTGAAGTGGAGCTTTAAACCAGTTTCCCTTCTAAATTTCACAATACTGTAGGTATTAATAGCAAATAACCCCATTCTTCTGAACAAAAGCTTGTGCCATGACGTAACAGGACTTTTCAAGTATTTTGGAGGAATATAAAAATCTGCAATAACACCAATACTTTTGATAGGAATTTGGGATATATCTGCCTGTTGGGTCTTCTTTTTCTTCTTTTCCACTTGGGTTGAATATGCTCTATTTATCATCGAAGATTGAAGCCCCAAGAAGGGGGTAAATATTCTTGGATTACCAGGCAATGATCTCGCTACTCTAGATGCTATCATGTCTACGAATACAAACGTATTGATTGTATATTGGTGCTATCAGATCGTCAAATGAAAATCTCCATATTGAAAATACTTTTTAAAAAATCCATGACTTACATAATCAATTACATTCGGTACAAAAAATTTAGAGATGAGATCTCTATAAGTATTGTAATGGTTGGTTCCATTCTAAGAGTTTAAAAATAGTTAGATAGACTTCTATCGAGTACAAATAGTTTAGCACTATGCCATCTGCTCAGAAACAAAAAACAGGAAAGCAAAAATTAGCACCAGAAAAGGAAAGATTTCTTCAATGTTGTGGAGATATTTCGTTAGAATTGGTTGCATCTTTAAAGAATTCCAAAGACATAAACTTAAATGGATTAATTATAAGATATGCTAAGAAATATAAGTTAAAACAACAGCCTAGATTGACTGATATTATATCGTCTATTCCGGATCAATACAAAAAATATTTGATACCTAAGCTAAAGGCAAAGCCAGTTAGAACTGCATCGGGTATTGCAGTTGTTGCTGTTATGTGTAAACCTCATAGATGCCCTCATATTGCATATACTGGTAACATCTGTGTGTACTGTCCTGGGGGACCTGATTCGGACTTTGAATACTCTACGCAATCGTATACCGGGTATGAACCTACCTCTATGAGAGCCATCAGAGCCAGGTACGACCCATATGAACAAGCTAGGGGTAGAGTTGAACAATTAAGACAATTAGGACACTCTATCGATAAGGTTGAATATATTATTATGGGTGGTACGTTCATGTCATTGCCAGTTGAATACAGAGAGAATTTTATTACACAATTACATAATGCCTTAACTGGTTTTAATGGTCGTGATATTGATGAAGCAATTAAATTTTCCCAACAATCCCAGACCAAATGTGTGGGTATAACCATTGAAACCCGTCCGGATTACTGTACTGAGACTCATTTGAGTGATATGTTAAAATATGGATGTACCAGACTTGAAGTAGGTGTCCAATCGGTTTATGAAGACGTTGCAAGAGATACTAATAGAGGGCACACAGTAAAGGCTGTGTGTGAAACATTTGCGGTCGCCAAAGATGCTGGTTACAAAGTTGTCAGTCATATGATGCCGGATCTTCCAAATGTTGGTATGGAGAGAGACTTGGAGCAATTCAAAGAATACTTTGAAAATCCAGATTTCAGAACTGATGGGTTAAAATTATATCCTACCTTAGTTATCAGAGGTACTGGTTTATACGAATTATGGAAAAAGGGGTTATATAAATCGTATAACGCTAACGCCTTAATCGATCTAGTTGCACGTATTTTAGCATTAGTTCCACCTTGGACTCGTATTTATCGTGTCCAAAGAGATATTCCGATGCCATTAGTTACTTCAGGTGTGGAAAATGGTAACTTAAGAGAGTTGGCATTGGCAAGAATGAAGGATTTTGGTACTACATGTAGGGATGTACGTACAAGAGAAGTTGGTATTCAAGAAGTCCATCATAAGGTTGCCCCTGATCAGGTTGAATTGATCAGAAGAGACTATTATGCTAATGGTGGATGGGAAACCTTCTTATCCTATGAAGATCCTAAGAAAGATATTTTAATTGGTTTATTAAGGTTACGTAAAGCATCGAAGAAATACACCTATCGTAAAGAATTCACAGGCCAACAAACTTCTATTGTTAGGGAATTACATGTTTATGGTTCGGTTGTTCCATTACACTCTAGAGATCCAAGAAAGTTTCAACATCAAGGATTCGGAACATTATTGATGGAAGAAGCTGCTAGAATCGCAAGAGAGGAACATGGATCTGAAAAGATAAGTGTTATTTCTGGTGTTGGTGTCAGAAATTATTATGCGAAATTGGGATACCATTTAGATGGTCCATTTATGTCAAAATGGCTTAATGAAGATGAATAATCTAGGCGTAGTGTCATCCTGCGATAGTTTATATTGGTATATAGCATTATTTCACAACACTTTATCATACTATTCAATGTACATTATTAAGCTTCGTTTATTATACATACAGATCTAGGAAACTACTCAGTAAAACTTAATTATAGCCGTTATATATGCAAGAAAGAATGATTGTAAATAATAGTATTATGTCAACTGCTTATGGTGATTAGTCACGACTAATGATGATAATATTTACCTCCTATATTCAGGTTCAGAACTTCCTTTGACCAGCCAGGAATATCCTCACCAGAACCACCAACGGGCCTTTCTAAGACAACATTTTCTAATCCAAGTGCATCACTTAACCAGGAGTGATTAACCATTCCACCAGCATCAGCTCTCAATTCAGGTTGCAATGTCAACATTGGCAGCAAGAAGTCAGCAATTTCAACAGCATCAACCACTGAAAACTTATATTTTTCCATAAGTACGTCTTTTATACCCCATGGCTTTAGTTTTTGAATTCTATGAAGTTCCCCTCTCGAATTAAAGAAATCTCTTGTGTAATAACCTTCTTTTAACATGGCTCTTGGGAATGGTCCCACAAGCTCGATTATTTGCGCGATGTGATCGTCATCTTTAGTATATGTCTTACCATCTCTTGGATCAAACAAGTAATCACCAGTTAACAATTCAAAAATCAAACAAGCAAATGACCATAAGTCAGCCAGCGCACCCCAGTGATATCCTAATAAAACCTCAGGTGAGCGGTATTGTCTTGTCTGAATTTCATCAGTGAAATGATGACTTGTCCAACAAGCATTGCCCAAATCTGCAATTTTTACTGAAATAAGTTCATCTTCATTGATGATGAAAGAGTTTTCATTACTCTCATTCTGCTGCATACTTGAATCAAAGCCCGATGGGATCTGTAGTGGATCTGTAGTTGTATTAGTTCGGCCAGCATTTGATATTGACATAGATGATAGTGAACTGTTCAATGTGTCTTGCTTTTCGTAATTAGGAATGTTAGTGTTTGAGGATGCCATAGCAACTTCAGATGATGCTGATTGATTAATCAAAGTAGGTTGAGCACCTTCAAAAAATGTCTTCAGTGGAGTATTGGTAGTAGAGCTAGAAAGTGCATAAACATTCGAGAATGATTTATTAAACGTGCTTAAAGGCGATGGCAAGGGCTGGGATCCTGTAATCAAAGTTTGTCGTCTTGATCTTCTACCATTTCTTCCTAAAGAAGGTGAATTAGTTGATGGCTTTGAAGAGGAGGCTATACCAGTTGTTTGTTGTGATTGAGAAGTATCTTGAAATGATGTATCAGGCGTAGCATTTACACTATCAGACTTGGCTTTTGATTTCTGTAACTTCTTTTGTTTCTTTGCCTCACTCGTTTCAAGTTCAACCATTTTAACAATTTGTTCCACATCACCAATCTCAATAAGGACATTCTCAGGCTTCAAGTCAGTGTGAATAACACCGCATTTTCTGTGTAAGAAGTCCAAGGAAGATAATAATTGCTTGGCTATTTGCTTGACAAAAACCACTGGTATTCCACGATGCTTATAACGTCTAATTAAGCCCAATAAGTTTTCACCAAGAACTTCAAATACCATAACAACGTGAACCCCATTGGGTCCTTTGTGTGTGAAAGTATCTAATAACTGAATAGAATGTTCATGGCCTGGATGGTGGATATCTGAGGTAGTGATTTTATCTAATAATTTAATTTCATCTATGGCAGTTTCAGTGTAGTGTTTTGCGCTTCTAACAATTTTCATAGCAACATGGCAATGTTTATCATTATCTTTAGCAAGCCACACAGTAGAAAAATGGCCCCATCCTAGTTTACGAACTAATGTGTATTTATTATTTTTATAATTCTCTCCAATGTAACAAGTATGGTAACCTCCTGGAACGTAATCTTTCAAGTCTTCCTCATTCTCAGGATGAATAGATTCATCATCATCATCGTCATCGTCTTCATCATCTTCCCTCTCGTGTTTATCTTCGTCATTTCCAACATGTTCTTGTACCAAACTTTTTTTCTCCTCAGCCTCCAGAAAGCTGGTTTTTAATGGCGATAATTCAGGCTTGAACGATTTAACAACGGGAGACGTGGTGGAACTCGTAGGAGTACTAGGCTGAATTAAGTTAGGGAGCAAAGAAGCCGGTTGTAAGTTTTCATTGTTGAAGTCATGGTTATTACTGTTATTATTCTGATTACTTGTAGAAGAATCTGCCTTTTGAATAGCAATGGATAAATTGGATTTGTGGGAACCAGGATAGTTAGTCATTAAATTCGTTCTATTTTAAATTAAATGACAATATTATACTGGTTTTTGATTGGGATTTGTTAGTTGAGTTTGTTTATATTGCAGTTAAAAATAGGTGCGTTTATAATACAGTGAAAATGAAATTAATTATAGGTTATTGATACAATAAATGATCGAAACTGGGAATCGCTATGCTTCACCTATTATAGCTTTCTTAACAAGGGAGTCTTAATGCTCTTTTCTTTATGTTTTATTGATAAATTCAATGTATTTATTGCACTGTTTGAGAGTGGGTTCAATAAATTTTCCGATGATATATTTTTTGTGTCATTGTCTATTATGCTTACAGTCAAAATCTTCATTGTAATAATATTGATATATTAAATTATTCCTTAAAAGTGAAAGGTGAAGAGTGTAAAAATTAATAATAAAAGGTATATATATATATTAATGAGTTTGTTCATAGCCTTGATATTTTATATTTATATTTTTGTAGTATTCATTGCCAAATTATAAATAAATCTAATTATCCATTTCAACGTCACCATCTTCATTCTTCTTTTCGGTGTCCTTAGATGCTTGTCTAGCAGCAGCTAACTTTTCAGCCATAGCCGAAGCTTGAGCTTGCTCTTGCTTTTGTCTAATAGCTTGTTTCTTTTCTTCTTCCTTAGCTAAGTAACGACCTCTAATAACGTTACCGATAGAAGCTAACTCTTCGTATTTAGCAATGTATTTAGCCTTGGATGAATCGTAACCGTCTTCGTATAACCAGTCTTCGGTCTTCAATAACATGCCGGTTAATTTTTCCTTTTCTTGGTCACTAGCGAAGTCCTTGTATTGTTCGTCCAATTTACCTCTTAATTCATAGATGTATTCTTCTAAGGCGTTCTTTCTGTCTTCAGTGTCAGCAACCAATTTATCTTCCATGATCATGGAGTGTTCCTTTTCATAGTAAGATTGTCTGACTTCTTCTGGTAAGGCAGAGGAAATACAAGTGATTTCCAAGTCGTTCTTCTTAACTAATTTCTTGACTTCACGGTATTCTGGTTCAGCTTCTTCATCTTCTTCTTCACCTTCCTTTGGTTCCTTTTCAATCAATTCCTTGACTAATTTTTCTTCAACAGTGTGAGCAGATTCGATAGTGTAGAAACCAGATGGGTCGTTTCTCAACTTCAATTTACAAGCAATGGAAGTTTCACCTTCAGATGGGACAACACCCTTTAATTGCCACTTAGCAATAAGAGATTCGGTACCAGCTGGTAATTCTTCCTTGTTAGTGTATCTAGCTTCAACACCGAAATCACCCTTTCTGTATAAGGTAATGATTTTAGTAGATGGGAAAAGACCACCTCTTGGGAAAACTTCCAAGTTGTCTTCATCTTCATCTTCCTTGTCCCAGAAGTAAGAAACTGAGTAAGGGTTGAAGTCTTCGAATTTGAATGGTCTGACTCTTAAAGTTGGGGAGTGGGTAGCACAGATGAATGCATTACCTCTGACAATAGCTTCATCTTGGTTTAAGGTGAATGATAATTGCTTACCGAAGATTTCAGCTAATCTAGCCTTTAAAGATGGAACTCTAGTACAACCACCAACAACTTCAATAGAGTCGATATCAGCAGCGGTTAAGCCAGCATCCTTCAAAGCGGTTTCAATTGGAATATTAACTCTAGCTAATAATGGTTGGACGAATTCTTCTAATTCCTCACGGGTCAAAGAAGATGAAACATCAACATCATTCATAACAGATTCAATGTTGAAAGGAGCTTGAGTGTTAGCAGACAAAACCTTCTTCAATTTTTCAGAAGCGGTTAAAACTCTGTAATAAGCCTTTGGATTTTCTCTGACATCGATCTTGTATTTACCCTTGAATTCATCGGCAAAGTGGTTAGCAATAGCGTGGTCAAAGTCTCTACCACCAAAGTGCTTGTCGTAACCAGAACCTAAGATCTTTAATTCACCCTTCTTAACAGCAGCGATAGCGACTTGGAGGGATGAGTGACCAATATCAACGAAGGCAACCTTCTTTGGTTCGTCTTCTGGTAAATCGTTAGCCTTGAAAACACCGTAACCAACAGCAGCGGCAGTGGTTTCGTTAACAATTCTAACTGGGTTCAAACCTGCAATTCTACAAGCATCAGAAGCAGCACGACGTTGCTTTTCGGTGTACCAGACAGGAACGGAAAGACAGATGTCAACAATGTTACCCTTAGTTTCCTTGTAAGTGATATCCTTGATCTTGTTGATGTACATAGCAGCCAATTGGGTGGAAGTGAATTCTTGTTGTTCACCTAAAAATCTGATCTTGGCTGAAATTCCACCTTCTTTGTTCTCGACTAATGGACAGCTGAAATATTTCTTTTCGATCTCAAAATCTGGATCATTGTAGTTCAAACCGAGAATTCTCTTCAAGTTGTCAACGGTGTTCTTTAAGTTGGAGGCTTGTTGGTTCTTACCTGATTCACCAATAAATCTGCTTTTCATACCAAATCCAATTAAGGATGGAGTAGTACGGTTGGAAACCTCATTGACTATAATGTCAATACCTCTATTTCTAGCACAGGCGATAACGGTATTTTCGTTACCTAAATCAACACCAAATGGAGTAGACATCTTTCAATATAATATTATTATATAATTTATTCTATTTAATAATAAAGTCTCAATAAACTTATTCTTTACTATAGATTAATCCTTTATTAAAGGCAATCAAATTTTTCTTATACGAAATTTTCGGCCAAAAAAAAAAAATCGCTGAAGGTCGTGCGGGTAACGCGCATCGAATTCGAATCTTCGAGAAGATACCAGAGTTCGACTTCCACCTTGTTCGGTGTGCCAAGGTTCAAGACAAAAGAATGATTCCCTGGTGGAAAGCAATACGGCATGTAATAGGGAATGTGCACCAACAAACATTTAAGTGTGCACTTTATACACTCTGCTCTAAGATAGTTATGAATGTCATCCAACCAGGACTCTCGACCAATTGTAAATAGGTGGTTTGTTCTTTATGTCTGACGTAAGACAATACCAATTTTAATTCATCGTGGGACAATATTCCAGTTTTTGCAATGTAGGTGAGGAAATGGAAATCAAAGAGTTGAGAACCATCACCTTGATCTGCACTTAAGTAGTTGTAGGCAGACTTTAAGTCCTGAAGATCGCCCATGAAGTCTCTGTTCTCGATAGGGAACTTTTCGTGGAACATTGGAGAAGGATCCAACGGAAAAGAGTCCAGAAGCGACACCAAGAGGAACTCAACCGGAAATGCGGGCTTGGCGTTTGTTTTAACCTCGAGACCGTATTCGTTGATCTTCAGGTAAAATACATCGGGGACGTATCTCTTACCCTCGCTGTCGTTGATGTAGAGCATTGAAGGCTGCGTGGACCCTGTGATGATATCGGCCCTAATAAGGGCCTCGGCACTTGTAGAAACTTGGTACGATCTTGGCTCAATCTCGCCGTTCATGCCACCCGATATAACGCATGTAACAAACTTAGAAGAGAATATACCGGAGTTGGAGTGTTTGGTGATATTTGGATTTGCAACTTGGTATTTGGCCGCCATGATGACTTCTAAACACGACAAGAAATAGCTATTCTTGTGCCTCTTACATAAAACGGCCCCGTTTCTGGCACCTGCGTCGGTTAAGTCGGTGAAAGTCATTCCGACCTTGTAGAGGCCAAGAGAGGCAGCTATTTCATCCACTTGTTGTTCGTTCTCCCAAGGGAGCAAGGTCAAGCCATCTAATTCGCCCGATTGTGGCGGTTCGTATATGGCTTCCACCACTGCTTTAATGCCTAACGGAACTTTATCAAACTTTTCATATCTTCCGTACAAGATACCGAATCTCTGCACACCAGTGGTTCTCCAGGAATCAATAAATTTATTCAAGATGGATGAATCTGCAAACTCAACATGGTCGACCATACGAAATTGTTGCTGTTGCAAGGTAATTACAGGGGGCTGACATTTAGAACAAATACCCTTAGGATATGGAGCATGCGATCCACTAGGACAATTCAAGTTAATATTATAATTTGGCTCTTCCAAAGGTGCCATATATGACGTAGCATTATTTCTATTATTTTTCAGTTCATTGATTTCGTTTAGGTGTGCATGATACGACATGTGCTTGAATCCCTTCTCTTTCCTATATTCCTTATCCCATGGTGGCAACGGAGAGCAATATTCACACATCCCTTTATCACCATGGCGACATAAATCTGATCTTGGTCTCTTGATCATACCATCCTCTTTATCAAGCAAATCATCTACCGGCAACTGATCCACTTTAAGAGGTCCAGGTCCCTGATTTATCGGAATTGAAATGTCATTCATGTTAATTGAAACATTTGCGCCATTGACTGTTTTAGCAGTGCTCAAGGGAACCGAAGACTCAGATTTTGGGGGTTCAGCAGTAGTTTCATAAGTTACAAATAGCAAATCACCATTCTTGAATCCCAATTCATTAACACTTCTACCACATAAGCTATTTGCCTGCTCTCCCTTTGAATTGGGTTTATCACTAATGTAGATCGACTGTATATCATTTGTTTTAACTTTACTAACTAACTCTTCCAATACCAACAAAAAATCACTTGTCTCATCGGCATTAATTCTGAACATACCATCTTTGGTTCTGAATCGAATAATCTTCGAATGTTAGTACAATCCTTTGAAATGTATTCTTCAAGACGAATTTACTCACCATTTTATAAAATTGCCACTGATACAATTATACGTATGCTTGTTAAATATACTGAAAAAAACGAGATTAAGTAGAAGTTCCCTTATGATATCAAAATTGTTCGTATATCTAAGAGTAACTTACACAATTGATCTGTTAGACACTTTGACTGAATATATTTGTATAGTGATCTTTGGCTTACAGAGGAACATAGTTTAGTGAAGTACGTGCACCGATCATATTTAAGATAGTGAACTTTCAAGTACACATTTACTATTGATAGTACCTATGTGTAGACAATTTGGCTAGGAAGATACCCTAGAATGACATTTTTGCATCTCAAACTGTCGTTCTTACTGAGTACGTATTTGGATTCGTCTCAGATGCTCTTGATGTAAACCAAATGCTGTAATGATTTTATACTAGGGATATATACATAAACGACACCAGATTTCTGAAGCCTGAACTTCGCTACTTCAAGATAAAGAGTTAATACTTCTCATTATATCTATATGTGATTTTTAACATATTGTTAGTTTTATTGTGATATGAATACAACAGAGTAAGTTAAAGGTACCCACAAAGATTTGTAATATAAATACCGCGAAAAAACTTATTTGTTCGTACTATCCTTCTGGATAGTACATTTGTCAATTTTAACAATACAGAGAAGATTAGCATTGTCCTTGCATAAAGATGACACGCTTTACAAAGAGATTTAACCATTTTTTTTTGTAAAATGATGTAGAAAATACCCTCTATTACAATTAGGATATAACTAGAGGCGATAATGAGCTATAGTCGGTAGATAAAAGTAAATTTGAACTAAAATTGTAAAGGGGAATTTTTGGATAAGGTCGCAGGTTCAACTCAGACCCGCGTTGACAGAAGAAAAAAACAATCTTATCGTGTATCTACGTACGTCAGATTCAGAATTTGTTTCTAAGAAGTACTTTGGGAGACATACAATATGCTAATATGAAAGAACTGCTATTCCCAGAAGAGAGTTCTGGTAATGCAACGAATTCTGATCTATTCGGCTCCAATAAACTACCGACACCGGTAACAAACTCGCTTGGTGGAAACCTACACCAGCTAAATAATGACCAGATTAATAAATTGATCAATTTGAAGTTTAATGGCCAGCCCGTGTCTTTAATTAGACAACTATCATATGACTTAGCATTGAAGGAGCTGGAATTAATATTACTCCGAAAGGAAAAATTTCAACGAGAACAGGAATTGCTAAAGATGTGTAATGAATATGGAAATTTGAGTAGTTTAGAAATAGATCAGAAATTAAATTCACTTAAGGTGGATGAAAGTGTTGATAACGTACTACTGGGTCTTATTGAGCATGCAATAAATGAAGATTTGAAGAATGAGGCACCACCCAATACCTGTCATAGTGAAATACTTGAAGAAGAGAGTGTAACTAAAAGTGAACCTTTTTCTAGGAGACCATCCAGAGCAGGTGGATGGATAAGTGATTGGTTCAAGGAGCCGTACAAGAGGAGCTCCTTTTCAAGCTTAGGGTTGGATAAAGAGACTGTTAAGACGAGAGATTCCAAATTCAGCTATTCTTATTTGGGATCATCCCTGTCATCTCTTCCAGCTACTGAAAATACGTCTGATACAAAAATACCTGTAGAATTGGATACAATAAATAAATCTACTCCAGTAAATACTCCAGAATTTTCTGCTAATGCCGGTATTGATAAATATGGCTTTTTCAATGACATGACTGAATTTTCCGATAAAAATGAATTGGAAATTCCTATGAACAAGAAACAAGAAGAGTTAGTAGATGATGTAATTGTGAATGATAAACCAAAGCTTAGCATAACTGAAACAAATTCCTTAGACGTCAACGGGACGACCAATGTTAGACTGATCATCCCAAGTATAGATAAATTAAAAAAAATCGGACAGTTGCATGATGCAAAGAACAGGCAATTTGAATTTAAATGGGACCAATTTATAAAGGATCTGATTAAGGATTATCACAAATATACAAACAATAATGTACAACCACAGGACATTAATTACCATTCAGCTCTCTCGGAGTATGAAATCTTTGGTGCACAGGGATTAAATCTCATTAAGCTTGACAAATCACAATCGAAATTTGGATCAAATTCCAACGCTCCTCATGAAGTAGGAAGCATTAAGACACTCCGCAAATTAGTAAGTGAGAATGGTATTCCACTAAAATATAGACATGATCTCTGGCTCGAATTATCTGGTGCTAAGAATCTTCGGGTACCAGGGGAGATGCAAAACCTCATCAAGGGAGCCAAAACCACAACAAATGAAGTAGAAAAATCTAACATCCACCAGATTGATCTTGATTTGCATAGGACTTTACCGTCAAATATCTATTTCAACGATTTAGTAAACAGCCAGCCAGGCCCAAACTTTTATAAGTTGCAAAATGTTCTCTACGCATTCGTGTTCTACAATTCCGATATTGGATACAGCCAGGGTATGAATAAGATTGTTGGAAACCTCTTGCTTGGAGATAGTAAATTGTCAGAAGAAGACATTTTCTGGATATTTACGGCTTTTGTGGAGGACATATTACCTAAATACAACGGATATAACTTCTTCAGTATACATTCGCTTCCCGTTATTCGTGTGGACCAAAAAATCATGCACATCCACTATTTCCCTCGTCTTTTGCCAAAGTTGAATGGCCATTTCTCCACATTGAATCTCCAAATCGAATATATCACCTTGAATTGGTGGCTCCTGTTGTTCACGGATGGGTTACCATTGGAAATCTGGTTCAAACTATTCGACAATTTCTTGGTGTCCAACGTTGAAACTGCCCTCATCACCATCTCACTCTCCTTGTTCAAGATATTCGAGGATTGTTTACTTGAATCCCAGTCATGTAACGACATTTACCATATCATGAAGAACCTTTCTACATCTAGGCTGTCCAAAATCAAAATCAAGTACCACGACCTTGTGGCTGTTAACACTACATTCGAGAAAAAAGTATCCAAGGAGGATCTTCACACTCTCCGCAAACTATATAAAGACTAATGCATGCACAATAACTCCTAGTATTTTTTCCCGTACTCATCATGAGAGCATTTACTTGAGACAATCCTCACTCGGGATTGTGAGCTTCTATTTTTGCTATTCTTTCTTTCGCAGCATTTTTCCTTCTAAACTACACTTCCATGAGTGGCATTAATTTCCAAATTTCAATATGTGATTCTTAAATAGTATTAACAGACATGTTGTGACGAAGGCAAGTATTTTTTATATGGAGTACTAGAAGGTTAACAGCGTGCCTGAATAGCTGCAACATAATTTTTGTCGCCTTATTTAAGCATCAAAATTTCCATACATCTTCTGATAAGTCTTCGAATTTTCCAGTTTATTAAATCCTATTGCATTTTCGCATACTTTTACTTCATTAATGAAATGTCGAGGTTTTGTTTCCCTAGCATATACATAACTGACTACTCTCATACTAATATTTGAAAAAAAAAAATCAAAGAAATCTTAAGCACCACGACCACGGTCCGAACAATAGAAAAAAATATCCGCAATCATATATGACAGATGATGCAATAGAATATTTCTTATTATACGTACTACTATGAATTAATGTATATGTATTTTTTAAAGTCCCACATTTTAAAAAAACAAGAATCAATTCATTATGGAAACTAGAATTATGTGTAAAATTACGAGAAATATGTAGCTTGGATACGTAAAAAAATAAAGATGATCATTTCGGGATGTAAATCAGATATAGGTCAGAACGCAGGTCGCACTTCTCTTGATCTTTACTATTAATAGCTACAGTTAAAGTATATAGTTTGTAAGAAGTATTTAATTTGTAGCTTATTGAAAAATAGATCAAAAGTGAATGACCGATTGATTTAGACTTCTAGATATTAACGAGACTATAACTAAGCGTTGTAAGAAAGCTTAAATAAAATGGCTGAAACAAATCAGGAACACACAAGGTGTATATAAAAAGTGCGGTATTTCGAAAAACGATTTCTTCAGAATTTCTATTATTCTTTTCTTTATTTAGTGACGATTTGCGGGCATGATAAGAACTCCTGTTATTCGGGTAGCAGCCATTGCTATAGCAGCGTTGGTTTTGTATTCACTTTCAGTGTTTTTAAGGCCTCAGGTTGTTTATATAGATAAGGTTACTAATGAGATTGTAAGGGATTTCAAAGCTAGCGATATGGGCGGTGATAGCAGTATTGCGGTAGATATGTCCAGGCAACCGATAAAGAATAACGATAAGGAACAGGAACAGGGGAGAATCCAGATCGAAGAGGCAGAAACTGATGAAGCTACGGATCACGAGGTGGTCCACTCGGTCGTAGTCCAAGGTCAGGATACGGAGGCTAAGGATTCCAGTGATGCATCTCCTGACAAACGAGTGAAAGCAACTTTTGTGACGTTGGCTAGAAACTCGGAATTGTATGATTTGATCAAATCTGTGAGGAGAGTAGAGGATCGATTCAATCGCAAATTCAACTACGATTGGGTGTTCTTGAATGATGAACCATTCACCGACGAATTCAAGAATTTGACCACATCAATTGTTTCGGGAAAGACCAAATATGGGTTAATTCCTACAGAACATTGGTCATATCCTGACTGGATCGATATGAAGAAAGCTGCCGAATCGAGAGCAGCCATGAAAGCTGCCCGTATTATCTACGGAGACTCTGAGTCCTACAGACACATGTGTCGTTTTGAGTCTGGGTTTTTCTGGCAAAATCCATTGCTAGACGAATACGATTGGTATTGGAGAGTCGAGCCAGGTATCCAGATCCATTGCGATTTGGATTACGATCTTTTTAAGTATATGGAGGACAATAACAAGGTATATGGATTCACAATTTCGATCTATGAGTTCGAAAAGACCATTCCATCGTTGTGGGGCCATGTCAAGGACTTTATAAAGAAAAATCCTCAATACTTGGCTGAGGACAATCTTATGGATTTCATTTCCGACAACAAGGGTGAAACGTATAACTTGTGTCACTTCTGGTCCAATTTTGAGGTGGCATCATTGAAATTCTGGCGTTCACAGGCTTACAGAGACTTTTTTGAATACTTAGACAAAACTGGAGGCTTTTTCTATGAGAGATGGGGCGATGCCCCCATCCACTCAATTGCTGCGGCACTTTTCCTTTCAAAGAACCAGGTCCACTATTTCGAAGACGTAGGCTACAACCACGGAGTCTACACCCAGTGTCCTCTTAATGCCCAATTCAGATACGATCACAAGTGCCACTGTGATCCCGAATCTGATTTCACCTTCAGAGGCTACTCGTGTGGTACCAAGTATTACGATGTAATGAAGAAAGAAAAACCAAAGGAATGGATACACTATACCTAGATTGACTTTTGTTCAAACGAATCTCATTTTGATCTGCAATTGATCGGCGATGATTACCGTACAATGATTTTCTCTTCTGCATTCAGCCTTGTAGCTCATGACCATATTTATACATAATAAACAATTATTTAATTCATCACCCTCCAAATTTCCAGTATCTTGTATTGTTCGGCAATTAATGTCTGTAATTCCTGTCTGTAGTTATTCGCTTAGAAACTTTTCAGAACTGCCTTGATTACGAAAAATCTCTTGGTGTAAAAAAAAGTTGTGAACACGTACAACCTGTAAACGCGCTTCAAAGGGTTTAATAAATAAAACTTCGGTGATATTAAATAGAATTTGTTCAATTTCTTTTGGAATTTATTAGATCATATTCAATCGTTTTTAGTTTGAAAAATATTGGATTATTGAATATGGGGTCTTCTAGGTCAAATGCCCGTATTATTAGGTTTGCAGTATTTGCTCTTATATTGATTGGATGTGGGTTCATCCTTTCGAGAGGCTCATACTATAATGCTGACGTTAACCCAGGTACAAACTTGCAAGCTAAACCAGCTAGCGACGGAAGTATTGCTAGTGGTGGTGAACAAAATGCTGGTAGTGTTAGTGGTGATAGTGCTGCTGGTAATGGTGGAAATGTGCAAGCAGAATTGCAGATTTCCAACCAAAATGTGCCAGCAGCAGCCAAGCCAAAGGCTGAAGCAGGAGCTAACAAGAAGGACAAGGTCAAGGCTACGTTTGTATCTCTTGCTAGAAATTCTGATTTGAACTCGTTGCTTGGGTCTATCAGACAAGTTGAAGATCGTTTCAACCACAAATTCAACTATGATTGGGTTTTCTTGAACGATAAACCTTTTTCGGATGAATTTAAAGAGGTCACCAGTGCCGTTGTTTCAGGAACCACTAAGTATGGTTTGATTCCAGAAGAACAATGGTCTTTCCCACCATGGATCGATCAAGAAAAGGCTGCATTGACCAGAGAACAAATGAAAGAGAAGGGAATCATCTACGGTGATTCGAAGTCCTACAGACATATGTGTCGTTACGAATCTGGATTTTTCTGGAGACACGAATTGATGATGGATTACGATTACTACTGGAGAGTCGAACCAGACATCAAGATTTACTGTGACATCGACTACGATGTGTTTAAGTGGATGAGTGACAACAACAAGGCCTACGGTTTTACCATTTCATTGCCTGAATATAAGGAAACTATCCCAACATTGTGGGATGTTACTAAAAAATTCATCAAGGAAAACCCACAACACATCGCCAAGAACAATATGATGGAATGGATTTCCACCGACAACGGTGAAACTTACAACGGGTGCCATTTCTGGTCCAATTTCGAAATTGCTAGCTTGAAGTTATGGAGATCCGAAGCATATAAGGCATACTTCGAAACTTTAGATAAGAATGGAGGTTTCTTCTACGAAAGATGGGGTGACGCGCCAGTTCACTCGATTGCTGCTGCCTTATTCTTACAGAAGGACCAAATTCACTTTTTCGACGATGTTGGATATTACCATGTTCCTTTCCACAACTGTCCAGTCTCTAAAGAAACCAGATTGAAGAATAAATGTGTGTGTAACCCAGATGAGGATTTCACCTGGAAGGGTTACTCCTGTACAACCAAATTCTACACTGTCAACAACCTCCCAAGACCTAAGGGATGGGAAAATTTCACCTAGTCGAATTTACTTCTACTTTCCCTGTACCCTATGCATTGCTACGCCTACGTACTTTATCATTTATTTATGTATGCCGTACGTGTATATGAATGTACATCCTTTTATTGCGTTTGAACTTTATTGACTTTTTTTTCTATTTGATTTGTATTACGCATTATTGTTCCTCCTCTGCTTAAATATATTAGCACATATAAACGTTTTATTGAATCCTATTATTAGTCTCTAATTGACGATGAGATAAATTTGAAAAGTTTGAGAGAATGATGGATATACACTTTGATGTTCTTATCTTGAGATTTAGCTGAATTAAGAGTGTAAATCATAAGTAGAAGTATGTTTGGAAATGATTCAGTGATGAACTATTCTGAGTGCTTATTCCACAGACGTTTTGTTACCTATATTCGAACTTTATCCTTTATACCAATAAGTTGGTTGTCGTTTCTTATATCCTTGTCTCGTCGCCATAATTTGTTGATGTAGAAGTCTGACTCAAATATATAAAGCAAGAGGGAATTAATAAATAACGATGCTTATAAATTAGACCCCCAATGAGGGGAGGGGCATATATACTAATACTTATTGCATAATAGCTAATCCATCCAAATTGAATAACCTCCGTTAGTCAATAGGAACTAGTTTGGTTAAAAATCTGTGATGTAAATCTATAATAGAAACTAAAAAGTACACATATATTGATACAATATATAGAGTTTTTACATAAATTACGTTTGAGAGTATCAAAGTAATATCCTATGTATAAGGAACTCATATATCTAGGTGTCAATAACAATAGGATAAGAGTTTGTAAATAAGTCATCACCGCTTGCATCATTAGACTTAAAATCTTCTTTCAAAAAGCTCAAAGGGTCTTTCAATTCATAGAACCCACAAAATGGCTCGCTAGTTGTCAAACCTAATGCTTTCAAAGCTTCTATGGATAGAGACTTGAAGTAATTAAGTGGTGTGCCTAAGAAGATATTCTCTTCTTGTCTGCATATTCCCTTTGTCATGAAAAGAATGGTGAGTATACGGTGCTCATTCTTAGTCGTATTGGCACTCCCTCCATGAAAACAAGAAGCAAGCATAAAGAAACAGTCACCCTTTTCTAATTCAGCGTAGACACATTCTTCTTCTGTAGGTTTACGCAAGTGATCCCATAGATGAGAACCCGGGACAAATCTAGTTGCCCCATTCGCCTTAGTAGTTTTGGTAAGACCCAAGACAGTCCCGACAGCAGTTTCATATCCATATTCAAACTTGTCCATCTTGTGACGAATGTTGTGATGGAGCATGTCATCCCTATGCAAAACTTGGTCTTTTGCACCAGGACCGACATCAAAAGTAATCATTGAATTATGTTGCGCAGGTGAATAGCCTGTTGCTAGCTTATCACCATTGATGAAATGGTTCTCTTGGGCGAGAAACCTATTTGAAACGGCCAAATTTAAAGGATGTGCTAAAACCTTTTCGGCTGCAGTCTTGGACTTAACAGCTGTACCGCATGATCTCCTAGTTTCTCTTGGGAAGAAATCACCTTCCCAAGCAACGTCTGCGTCTAAGTGTGGCCTTAAATCAGTTAAAATTTGGTCACAATCTTCGACCGGTAAGTAATTTCTGACAATACACCCACCATAGCATTCTAATTTCTCGCTGATTTTTTCAGCTGTCACAGGCTCTGAAATAACTAGGTCATCTTTAGAAACCTTCAAAACTCTATCATCTTTTGGAGTTCTCAAAAAGACCTTTTCTGTACCATCTTTTTTTGTACGGTCAACTTGACCTGAAGTTTTAGAATAAACTGGCTGATACATTATGTTTGGATATTTGTATTTATAATTAGTATTAACTTTCAGACTTCATAACTCAAGGATATTTCTCTCTTTATATATGTTTGGACCATTAGAGTTAACTCTCTTCTATCTTAGCTGCAAATATTCATCGCGTATATAACTTCTCAAATAAGGAAGAGGGACCGCGTGTGAAATTGCGCGCTCCTCCTTTCTTAATTAGGAGGTTCCATAGCATAGTTAGAATAGGTGCGTTATCTAATAATGAGGTTTCTTAAGACTTGGTAAATTTATTGATAAGATTTACATGATGGTGAAAGTGATAACAATATTTATAAAGTGGAATGGAATATAAAGTCTTAGACAGTTCCCGACTTTCATGATGGATTAGATGTATTGAACAAAATGCAGACCCAAACTAAACAATACTCCGATATTCTAAACATTCTTTTGTGCGAGTCAAATTTACAAGGAAAATACTTGAACACTTATGAGTTAAATGATAATAAAGCTAGTAGTTTACTTAGGGAAACGCGCGCTGATTTGCAGCAAATAACTGAATTAGGCTACACTCCACAACTACGGAGAAACTTCGGAATTTGGTCGTTATTAGGTATTGGATTCAGCTTGACAAATTGTTGGTTTGGAATTTCAGCTTCATTAGTTACTGGCATATCCTCAGGAGGACCTATGCTTATTGTTTATGGACTAATTATCGTTGCAATGGTTTCCATGAGCATTGGGATTACATTGTCAGAACTAGCTAGCGCCATGCCCAATGCAGGTGGTCAGTATTACTGGACTATGAAATTAGCACCTGCAAAGTATGCTCTGTTTGCTGCTTATTTCTGTGGGGCGTTTGCTTGGGCTGGTTCCGTTTTTACGTCTATATCACTTTCTATTGCGACAAGCTTGGTGGGGATGTATGTTTTAGGTTCTGGGAACACCAGTACAGAACCTAAAACTTGGCAGGTTTTCATAACTTATGAAGTAGTTAACTTCTTTTTAGCGTTTTGCAACTTTTGGGATGCACCCTTGCCGTCTTTATCTAAGGGCGCGCTATATGTCTCTTTGTTATCATTCATAGTGATCACTATAACTGTATTATCCAAAGCAAGTGGCGAATTTCAATCTGCAGAATTCGTATTTTCTACTTTTGATAACAATACAGGATGGACATCATCTGTTGTTGCATTCTTAGTTGGTTTAATAAACCCCACATGGCTGTTTAATGGATTGGATTGCGCTTGTCATTTGGCTGAAGAAGTAGTAGCACCAGAAAAAGATATTCCGATAGCCATAATTGGCACTATTATAATTGGATTCCTCACATCTTTTATTTACTCTATAGCTATGTTTTTCTCAATCACAAATTTGGAATCTATTTTTGAATCAAACACAGGTGTTCCCATATTAGACATATTCTTCCAAGTATTAAAGTCAAGGGCAGGGGCAATTGTTTTACAAACACTCATCGTTTTGACTGCAATTGGCTGTAACATAACAAGTCATACTTGGCAAGCTAGGTTGTGCTGGTCATTTTCAAGAGATAACGGTTTGCCAGGATCTAGATACTGGTCAAAAGTTAACCCAAAATTAGGTGTTCCAATTAATGCGCATATTATGTCGTGTTGTTGGGTTGCTGTAATCGGATGTATCTACATGGGATCAACGACAGCATATAATGCCTTGGTTACAGCATGCGTTATATTTTTGTTGTTATCATACGTAATTCCAACTATATTTTTACTAATTAAGGGTAGGAATAGTATATCTCAAGGCCCATTCTGGTTCGGCAACTTTGGTTTTGTCTGTAACTGCATATTGATTATTTGGACCATTTTTGCATTCGTTTTCTTTAGTTTTCCTCCAATTATGCCAGTTACAGCAGCCAATATGAACTACGTTAGTGTAGTCATTGTTTTATTTAGTATGTATGCAGTGATATACTGGTATGCCAGAGGTAAATACTACTTTAACGCTGTTGGAGAGACAGATAAGTTCATTAGAGCCAGTATTACCCAGCAGTTATCTAATCAGGCAGAACAGTTGGAAATGATATTATCACATTCTACAGCCCCTTAAAATTTAATTAAGAACCATTATTCAACTATGTATTAGCAAACTCACACAGCCTAATTCTGCTCGATGTTCGAATCCGATTATTGCGATTTTGCCCTTCTCTGAATAAACACTATTTTCGTGAAAACAGGTTTATAAAGGTAAGTAGTCAAAATCAGGTGAAGAATTCTGATGCAACGCCTCTTGGCTTGAGATTCCTTTCTCCCAAATAAGATTCAAAATATCCTGTAATGTATCCAACGTTCCTACGTGCACCATACTCTGTAGGCCAGTAACAAACGACATGATTTTTTCTCTCTCTTTAACATTCTGACATTCACAACCCATTACGTATAATGGCCATACCATTTGAAGAAATATTGGATGTTTCTTATCTATTGTTTGGTACAAATCAACAAACTCATGGATTAATGCTTTAATTATTGGAGCGTGATATTCTTCAGCCTGGGTTGTCTTGAGCAACACTACATACACGGCTAATGCCCAGCATTGTGCTGTCTTTAGTTTGGTAGGATATTCTTGATCTACAGGAACATATCGCCGGTATGCCAACAATTCTAGTTCAAGTGCATCGAAGTCATTTAATTGATTACTCCTATCGTTCGAATTTCTTTTCAACTCGTGTCGCAATGAGCAGACCTTAGATAGAACTGTAAAAATCTCTGCTGGACAACCCATGATGTTTCCTGTGTTAATTTTGTCATCTTCAAAACTGTACCATAGTGTATCACAAAATGGTAGCCTGCAATCATACGACACTATGGCTGATATAGTATCGTACCATGATAAAGTTACAACTATCGTTTGCAAATTTTTGTCTCGCAGAAGCATATCAGAGAATACTCTATTTTGAACAATTGTAGAGAACATTCTGAAAAGTTGTCTCGAATTATAGCTCTTGCCTCCTTCTAATACTTCAAATAGTACGTTCACATAAATTAGGGCTAGAATGATATTAGACGAAGTAGAAAAGTCCTTCAGTTCAATCTCTTGCTCATTTCCATTTAAACACAACTCTGTGGATTGGTTAATGTGTTCTATTAAATATTCCAATGTTACGTTTAAATGGGTTATCCCCTTTCTATAGCAGCTATGGTCGTCTAGTTTATGAGCATGGACATGAATGAATGCCAATGCAATGAAACAACTTCTTGCCACTTGGAAAGTGCAATATCTTAGAATTACTTTAGGCCAAGGGGGATCTGGATTTGCATCAAGCAGCGGAACTAATACAGTAAAAAAATGTTTTAGGAGCTCATTCTCTTCACTATTACTTAACACATTTAAGTCAAAGTTTGACTCGAAAATATTTAGATATTGTATTGTGTTTCCCGTTTCAGTACTATAATTTTGAACATTTAGAAAGCTATCTAATGCACTGCTGACCGTAGTTAAGGGTTCCTCGTTGAGATGCGATGTTTTGGGCCCAATGACAATTGAAGGGAGTGTGCTATCTATGGTATTAACATTAGCATCTACCCTCTGCAGAGTCTCATTCATATGTTCTGAATGAAGAGTTATCTTTGGGTCATTACGACATTTATGCGTTGGACTTGGAGTTGTATTTCTTCGACGAGGTTTACCAACAAAACAACTTACAAAGTTTCCATCTTTATCAATTCTATTCTTATTCCTGTCGTCATCAATATCGAAGGATAATTTGAGATCATAACCACCGCAATCCTGCCCTAGCTTTATACAATTCAAGCAATGTGGTTTCGTCTCATCGCATTTTTTACGCCTAATGGAGTTTGTTAGTAATTGATCCCAATTGTTAAATTCATCAGATAACGAAAGCTCACCTTTTCTTACAAGTCCAACACCCCGTTCGCACTCGAGTTATCTTGCCCATCCGTTTATGCCGCAGCGATTGTATAAATAGAATAAACTGATAACAGATATTGGAAAGTAATCCGAAATCATTAAGGAGTCTCTGTAAGCGAAATCATCAGGAGGGTACCAATATATTTTGCGATCTTGTAAATTACTGCATGCTGCAACAACAAAACCATTCAGAAGAAATACCTTTAGAGCTCGGAATTAATATTACCAAACGCAATGGCAATTAGAGTAGCGAATCGTTTGCTGCAAATTTAATGCATCTGTATGATTTCGATCATTCTTTGTGGAAGAAATATGACAGATCGTCTTCGGAAATGTTTTTATATATATCCATGCAGTTTACTTAAATGGATAAGGTAATTTTCGATATGAAGAAGCATAGTCGTGACAAAAACCGGCATCATCCCAAAAGACTTGATATTGAATAGAGTAAACCTTAAAACGCTTTGTCATAGTCAATTAGTGACCAAATTCTTTAACCAGTTTTCTCGTAGTGTAGGACCAAATAACAATAACTCCCATTTTGCCATTCACAATATAATCTTCTACATTACTTAATCTTCAAACGAATTTCTTTAAACGTTCATCTTCATGATTTTAACATTCTTCCATTTTTGTAATAGTTGTAACAATCTATATATAGTGATAAGGAATGGTTTAACGATGCATAGTAACCTGCAACCCTGCCACCTAACTACAGCAACCTAACTCACAGTTGATTGCTCTTTGAGATAGTTTGCCATATTCGGCACCATTGATTGCACTTTTCTACATCTGAGTACTAGCAGCCCATCCTTTATCGGAATTGCATTAGTTCCCGTTGCATTGGATAATGCCATCAAATAAAGTTAAAATAGCCATTGTTGGGTCTATAATCCAAGACTAATATTGGATCAAGGTTTGGCGAGACATATCTCTAACTACAGAGGTTAAATGCTTCATTTCCGTCCTTGTTCTTACTACACCTCTCAACATCCCTACACCTCTCATTTATCAAAAGATGTTTAGTCTGAAATGATATGAAGAGCGAATCTCTCAAACCATAAAACGAGCAACTACTTTCGAGTACATCGCTATCGATACAAAAGCGAACATTATGCCACTTCTATTGCCCATGCAGGGTTATTTTATCCTATTGGAGTGTTTAGTACGGTATCTATAAACATGAAACAATTATGAAACAGGATAACCACGCGGTATATACAGGAGATCAAGGGTGAGAGCATACACTTCTAATACACATCGATCTCGCCGTGTTTCAAGAGATCCTTTTTATCTCAAGGCTTAATTGCAATACTATTTGTAGATATATTGGACATATTATTGATAAGACGGAATTTAATTGAATCGGTATGTCTCAAAGTCGAGTAGGAGTTGCTCCCAAATTAAGTCTAGGAAAAAATGATAAGCCTAGACCTAGCTCATTGGAATTGAGTGATGATAGAAATTCAGACCTTGCATTGCGGATTGTAAGTCCAGGGTTGCCCGCTTTGAATGAAGAAATGAAATCCACGATAAAACTTTCCCAGAAAATTGAACAACAGCAAAAAAATCTTATTGCAGCAAGACACTCCAATAGTGGTAGTGCAGGTGTTGAGGACCTGTCAACAAACGGCGGTGAAACAGTTGTGATAAGTGGACCCAGTAGCACATTACCAGATGAGATGGACAAGTTGTCGACACCAACCAATATCAAGAGATTAAAGAGAGAAAATATTCCTACCCCGTTGAAAATGAACATGGGGCCATCCGCCAATCCTACAATTCAATCGGCACCTATAAGACAGAGTAGGGTGCCTATGGGGTCGAGAGCATATCCAAAGAGATATGTGCCCTACCAGATTCAAGTGCAACACCAGAATGCTCATCCGTATGCCCAAGCACCCAACAGAAGATATCGGTACATGCTTCCACAACCAGTTGCATACACTGGTTATCCTGGGGGTGTACAGGGCATGCAAAGGGTCAGAATGACTCCCTATACCAGTGCTGGACGTTATTTTCCTATCCATCACCCTAGGGCTGTTGCCAGCTTTGGAATGGCCCATCCCACAGCCGTATACCACAGGCAACCCAAATCCAACACCGTGACCGATGTATACCACGGAGACTACACGAAAGCGGCGCCTTTGCAATCACAACCTCTATCATCCCAGCGCGAAGTATTTGATAAGTCTGATGAACCTAGCCACGACGAAATGGACGACGACAGAATGCCTGTGTCAGAGGACGAAATTAGAGAAATGCAAGAAAAATACAATAATGACGTTGAAAGTACAGCCATCGACATCGAGGATGAGCAAAATGCAGCCTTCGCAAAGGATGAACCCAGAGAACAAGTGTTCGGCTCGATAAATCTCATGAATGAGAGTGTATTTAACTTTAAGATCTTCAGCCAAAATCCTTCATCGCCTGATGAGACATCTGATGGCAAAGAAGACTTAGCCAGAGATAAGGAAAAGTTTTTAAAGATTTGCGAGACAAGTTGGGACGAATTTATTAGCAGTAAAATGTAATTAGGTATTGGGCATCTTTATATAGGGTTAATGTTATTCATTTATGTATATGGGTCTCTTATTTGTAGTTGTATCACGTGTTGTCAATACTCGAGACTTCTACAACGAAGGCGAAAAGCGCCATTACTGGAGGTAATGAAGATACATTTTATCGATTATTAGCACAAAGTAGATCGGTATACCTTTCAGATGATAGTATCTAACTCAGTGCGTGTCTTGAGAGGACCGACGGTAAGTTCTCTCATGAGAATGGGGATAAGAATCAGACCCTTAAATCATTTGAGATGTCTGACGATACCAATGAGAACATTTACAAGTTTTAACCAGCCATTATTATTTCATGGCTCGAGAATTGTATTGAACAAAGAAAATAGGGAGCCAGAGAAGAAGCCAGACCAAGAGGGCAGTAAAGAGAAAGATGGCGAAAAATCCAATGAAGAGGACAAAGAAAAAGGTCAGAAGAAGAAGAGAGACATGGATCATGAAGAAAAAGATATTCGAGACCAAATCAGAGAAAATCTTAAGAAAAAGAACCCTAATATTGATCCTAATAACATCAAGATATACCAGTTCGATAACAAATCATTAGCTCGTGCATTTGCAGGAATCTTTTTCTTTTCGCTTTTCCTTACATTTTTCCTTGCATCAAACCAGAGAAATGAAAACGAGTTATCATTCCAAGATTTTAAAACTAATTACCTTGAACGTGGTTTAGTTACCAAGTTGACGGTTGTTAATAAATTTGCAGTTGAGGCCCAGTTGATTCAAGGAGCTGTATCAGATCAAACGTTCCAGACATTTAGCGGCCACCCTGCCGTCGTATTTACCATCGGGTCAGTCGAGTTTTTCGAAGAAGAGATGAATAAGATTCAAGAAAAATTGGGGATCCCTATAGATGAAAGATTACCTATCTCATATGAAGAAAGAGGATCATGGATGAATTACATTTTACCTATTTTGCCTACTGTTTTATTGATTGGTGGTTTGTGGTATATGACTGTGAAAAGAGCTTCTGCTCAAGGTGGTCCTGGCGCCGGTGGACCAGGTGGTATCTTTAAAGTTGGGAAATCAAAGGCCAAATTATTCAACCAGGAATCTGAAGTCAAAATCAAATTTAAGGATGTTGCTGGATGTGAAGAATCCAAAGAAGAAATTATGGAATTCGTTAAATTCTTACAGGATCCAACTAAGTACGAAAAGTTAGGTGCTAAAATTCCTAGGGGTGCTATCTTATCAGGTTCTCCGGGTACTGGTAAAACTTTGTTAGCAAAGGCAACTGCAGGTGAAGCAGGGGTTCCTTTCTTGTCTGTTTCGGGTTCCGAATTTGTTGAAATGTTTGTAGGTGTTGGTGCTTCTAGGGTTCGTGACTTATTCAAGACCGCCCGTGAGATGGCTCCAGCAATCATTTTTGTCGATGAAATCGATGCCATTGGTAAAGAAAGAGGTAACGGCAAAATGGGTGGAAATGACGAAAGAGAAAATACCTTGAACCAGCTTTTGGTTGAAATGGATGGATTTGATACTGGCGATCATGTCGTGGTATTGGCTGGTACAAATCGTCCAGATGTTTTGGATAAGGCTTTATTAAGACCTGGTAGATTCGATAGACATATTTCTATTGATATTCCTGATGTTGAAGGTCGTAAAGAAATCTTCAAAGTTCATTTATCCAAATTAACTTTGAAATGTGATGAAGACATTAAGGCTACCCAAAAAGATGTCGATTTCAACAAGTACCAGGAATTAAAGGCTGATGCAATTAATAACTTGGCGGGTAGATTAAGTGCATTAACACCTGGATTTGCAGGTGCTGATATTGCTAATTGTTGTAATGAGGGTGCCTTAATTGCCGCTAGGGAAGATGCACATTCTGTTGATACCCACCACTTTGAACAAGCAATTGAAAGAGTTGTTGCAGGATTAGAAAAGAAATCTCGTATTTTGAGTCTTGAGGAAAAGAAAACTGTTGCATATCATGAAGCTGGACATGCCATCTGTGGTTGGTTCTTACAATTTGCTGATCCTTTGGTTAAAGTTTCTATTATCCCAAGAGGTCAAGGCGCTTTAGGTTATGCTCAATACTTACCTAAAGATCAGTATTTGGTTTCGAAAGAACAATACAAACATAGAATGATCATGACATTGGGTGGTAGAGTGAGTGAAGAATTGCACTTTGATACTGTTACTAGTGGTGCATCGGACGATTTTAAGAAAATTACTCAAATGGCTCAACTGATGATATTGAAATTAGGAATGTCTGATAGCATAGGTAGTATTTATTACGATACTGGTGATAATGATGGTGGATTCAAGGTTCATAATAACTATTCAGAAACTACTGCAAGATTAATTGATACTGAAGTTAAAAAATTTGTGGATGAAGCATATGAAGCTTGTCATAAATTGTTAACTGAAAAAATTGAATTAGTTGACAAAGTCGCTGAGGAATTATTTAAGAAAGAAGTTTTAACAAGGGAAGATATGGTTAGGCTTGTTGGCCCAAGACCATTCCCAGAACGCAATGATGCCTTCGATAAGTATATTAAAGGTACGGATGCTTTCAAGGGTAAGCCAAAGAATCCTAATACCGAAGATAATGCCGATAGTTAGGAAGCTGTAATAAAGCTGTTCTATATATTTCTGTACATAGTATCATTATAAATAAATCATGTTTGTTTTTATAAAGATTTATATCGGTAAAGAATACACACCAATATTACATTATTGGTCATCAAACAATTCCTCTATAGATTCATGACCAGTTTGTAGATCTTCATCCAATAGATTTGGCAAATCCTCATTCAAATTTAGTTGTATCTTTAAATTTGGCACCTTATTTCGGTATAACCTCTGAGAATCGAACAGTTTTGTTTCCGTGGTACCAAATTCCAAGCTTTTGTCATCTCTGAGATAGTCACTAAAGGAATCATCAGACCCAGAATCACTAAAAATTTCATTAATTTCATTAACAACATCTAATATAGTAGGAGCCTTTGCAGAAACATCTTTATTTACATTATTCGAGCCAATAATATTGATTTTATCAAAATGACTAGGTATCTCATCTTCGGTTTTTTCTTCGTTTGGATTTGGGATATAACTCAACTGTGAAAGGTTTGACTCTTCATTTGCCGAATCTTCTTGCTTAGAATGTCTTTCATTGATTTTATGTTTTGGATCAAGATGGTGCATTTTTTCTACGAAATGAGATCGCCACTCCAAATAACCCATATCTGTCATATATCCACACCCTAAGATAGGACATATTAAGACTTGCTTCTTGCAAGAGCATTCACGAGGTGCATTTTGTCGATGAAAAATTAGGTCATTTTTAGTAACAAAAAATTTTTGACAAGTCTTAGAGTTTCCAAGATTTAATCCACAAGTAAATGGTTTGCTGTTCTTAGAAAGAGGTAAGCGTGGTACTTCAAATACTAATGGAAAATATTTAGTCAACTTTCTAACAGTGTTTTGGGAAATATTAATATTCATAAGTTCATTTAAACTGTTGTTCTTAATGGGATATCCCAATAATTGTAGTGAGTTTGAATGTTTATCCAACAAATGACTTTGATATAGTGCTTTGTTTCCTGTGCAGTAATGGCAATGTTCAAAGGCACAATCATATATCTTATTAGATGTCTCTCTTGAGGGAAATATACAAGGATCAGTCACAATCAGGAATTCATCATCGAAATCCAAGCTATACTCACCACTATCACTTTCACTTTCAGAGATATACTGATTTATATTGCTTTCATTTAGATATTGGTTTGACGTGGAAAGTCTTGAAGTCTTATTGTCATCAGATTCTACATCAGAAGTTTCTGACGTCTCGGCATATCCTTTACTATCTGAAGTGGTTACTGTGTTAGAAGTATCATCGTCGTCATATTGAATTTTGGTTTCAAAGGACCCTGTATTATCAAGTAGTGTATTATTTTGTACGAAAAAAGGAGTATTGGCCAGCTCATGGTTTTCTTGATTCTCTTGAGTTTTTCCAGCTAGATTATTATCTTTTACACGAAGGTGTGGTATATCATCAAAATGTAATTTTGTGGGAACGCTCTGCTCATTATAAATATTAGAAAGAATACGAGCTCTTCTTTTAGTAGGTGTCAAAAGTGAAATGCCATCATCCAATACTGGACTTGAACATCTAGTACTCTTCGTAGGCGATACTTTATATTTCTTTGTTGGGGAAGGATTTAACGACAATAAATTATCTTCGGAGGACAGGGCGAACGAGCTACCACGGGTGAAATCGTCTCCTTTTAGAGGAGATGATTGTAAAGACACATTATGGAATAGTTTTTGATTTTTTAGCTGTCGCTTTAGTTCCTTCTTCTTCTGTTTGAGTCTTGTTTCTTGGACTTTCTTATTATGTATATCTCTTTCCAAATCGTACGTTACTGACCAAATATCTCCGTCAAACTTCACATCCGTGCTTCCACTTATATCAGTCCTAAGAGACCTTAGATGTCCATTATCCGTTATTATCTTACCTGATACTAAATCTATTTCATCGCTCTCTTTTCCGTCATCGATTTGTGCATACTTCTCCAAGATCTCTTCCCACTTAGATTTGAACCTATTATTGCTTTGTTTTTTCAAACGATTGATTTCAGCTTGAAAGTCTTCTTCGGTTCTGTAGGCATTTCCGTTTCTATGAAGCGAAGGATACAGACTCAAATCGGACTGTGGTATTTCTTTATCATTGTCGTCATTATCTTCGTATTCATCACTTGTATCTATAGAGATCAGATTTTCAGGAATTTTACTCCTATATATTTCATTTGATTCTTCGTAGTCATCGTTTTCACTAGATGCCTCTGACAACTCGTTAAATATGTTTGCCATATTAGAACATTGAATCTATAACCTTTTGTTGTATATCGTATTTTGTGTTTACAAATTATTTTTGTGAGGTTATATTAATGAACTACTTTTTAAGCTTAATCTTAAATGATCTACGTCAAAGTTGTCTCCTGAAATACTTCGAATTCACTATGTCGTTGTCCTTACTGGAACAACAGAAAAAGCAATTGGACCAATTGATGAAAAAATCATCCAGTTTGCGGCCAACAGTTGGACTTCAAGAAGAAAATCTGTTACATGATAAAGATACTTCGATTGTAGATACTACAGCCGATAAGAAAGATAAATGTAAGTTACATAACCTCGAACTCGATTCAGAGATAAATACTGACTTTAATGATAGCTCAAAAAAAATCTTTTGATTATTCCAATTATATTAGAAATAAGCGACAGCAGAGAGAGTTAGGCAAAGCAGAACAATTAAAGGTCCAAAAAAGTGAAGAGGCCTTAGAATTTCAAGCAAAGAAAGTCAAAAAGGAAAGCGAATTACATGCCAAAACTGCAAAGAAGAGGGCTGCAAGACAAAAGAAATTGAATAAGCTAAAGCAGTCGAAATTAAATAAAGTTCAACTTACCAATGAAAAGTAAACGAATCCTTGTACACACATTCGGATAGAAATCACCGGCTTTAGGACTAGATTCCTATTCCATAATCTAAAATTCAAACTTGAGTGTAAATTGATCTATTAACAGGAACTTTTCATAATATCATAAGAGCTATATACATGTAGTAAGTTGACTTTAACAAACGTCAAATATAATAACATCTATTCGTTGTTATTAACCGTGTGTGTTCTTTCGTTGTTCTTGTTTTCATCCCAGCATTTTTTGAAAGCTTGCATTTCTTTCAAACATTGTCTCCAGTCTCCAGTATCGGCATGGCAAAGCTGTAACTTGAGGTTTTCTTCGTGACAACCCGTATTCATAATTCTTTGATCCCATTCATCTGGAGCATCATCATCATCATTATCTATGGCCTGGTTATTATTATTATGAGATGGCTGCATTCTGTATATCGGAAGCTTGATAGGACTGGAAAGAGATTTAATACTCGTTTTATATTCGGTTATAAATCGGTACACAAAATATTCTACGAACAGAAGAAATGAGCAAATTTAGAAAGAATACATCCAAATAGATTTGATATCTATAATTAAAAGATACACATAGAAGTACTATAATACAAGATTTAAATGAATTCTCTAGAACCCAAAACCACTCTTAGAATAAGCCATTGGCTTCAAGTCTGGATGTGGGACGGCTTCAAACGTTTCAATTTGTAAATTCCATGGACAGTTGGTATCATCAGAAAGTCTATATCCTTCACCATCATCCTTTTGTTTATCATATTTGTCATTCTCAGTAAAGTGTACAACACCACCCAAATTACCAGTAGAATCGCAATAGTTTGGTGCACTAAAAACCGTAATTAATCTACCGTTGTGTTCTTCTTCAACACCACCCATTCTCACCTCATGGGATCTCAAAACCTTTCTAATCTTATTGGTTAAACAGAACCTTTCAGTTATATCGGGACCAAATTGCATACCAATTCCTCTCTTAGATGGCGAGCAACCGTTCATTGGTTGTGGATCAGTCCATAATAATTCCATACCAATGCCATCTCTTGCTGGTTGAGTTGAACCTGAAGTAGGGAAACGGTTAATCTTTTTGATGTCTTCAATTTTGACTTTAGAATCAGAAAATAAACCACCATGCATACATAAATACGAGCGATTGATTAAAGTGGCTAAAGGTAAGGCACCAAAGGATTCGGAAAATGCTTCGAATATCTTTTTAGAGTATTTATGCTCACACTCATCGGTGAAACCATATGTTTTATTCATATCATTAGTTTCATGATTACCTCTATTAATGAAAACTGAAGTTGGATACAAAATTTTCAAAACGTACAAGTATAATGCAACTTCACAAGACCATGAACCTCTATCAACGAAGTCACCATTGAATAAATACGCATGCTCTTCAGAAACGTATCCAAATTTCTTGAAGAGGTTCAAAACATCATAAAATTGGCCATGTGTATCTCCAACAACTGTAAATTTCTTTGCTTTTGATAAAATAATCTCATCCGGTGATTCACTAGGAGAAAGTCTAGAATGTGCCTGAGAGACTTCTACCATACTGCTTTCATTTTTGAACAATTGGCGCACCTTAGCAATGATCGCATGAACGTGCTTCTTTGGTAATTTACCTCCGTCTTTGAAAAGTTTGATCATATATTTCAAATAATTCAAGTCCAATCCTTCTATTTCAACTTCAATATCAGATTCTTTACTTTCCCTCTTAGCACTAATAGATAATTCAGGACCCTCCCAAGTTTTTTCGATTATCAAATCATTGAAGTTAATACTATTAATTACCGATTCCTTCACATCTCCAGCAATAGCCTTTTCGAAAGCTTGTTTCTTCAAGTAGCTAGTACATTGTTTATTGTTTTCTAATGTCAATCTATCGTTTGGCATCTTTTTTAAAATCTCTTTAAAGTTGATCTGTGCCTCTTTATAATTCAAGATAGCCATTAAAGAGATACCTTTACGGTAATATGCTTTCATCATGTTCGGATCAACTTTCAAAGCTTCATTACAGTCAGCAATGGCTAATCCATAGTTTTCCAACTTAATATGAACCTGGGCTCTATTGGAGTAAAAAACTGCATTTGATGGATCTAATTCAATCGCTTTAGTGTAAGATTTAATAGCATCATCATAACGATGTTCCTTCAAATAAGAATTTCCCTCGTCTTTGAGCTTGATAGCTTCTTCCTTGTTGTTAGACATAATGTTCTATTAAGAATCTATTGATACCTGGTCTATTTGTTGAATACTTTACCTATCAACATAAATTTTAGTTGAAAAAAAATAAGGTCACGAGCCATTCTACAGATCGAATAAAAGACGTCAAGCATACATAAAAATTATACAAAAATCAATAATCAAAACTATCTAGTATACGGGAGGAACAAACTTTTGTCAGCCTTTAATAAGTGTATTTACGCTTAACCTCTGATACGTAAGCCTGAAGCTTGGGCACCAATAGCAGTAATGCCGGTTATTTTACATATCTTACCTTGCTCTTCTGGCTTATATTTAGCACCAACTAAAGCTTCGGTAACAGATGGTGATCCCTTGTAAATTGGGGTGAAGCTAGCAGCACAAATGTCAAACTCGGCATATGGATCGAAATCAATTTCAATCGCATCACTAGAGACTGAGTCGGCCTTAGCTTTCAATTTTTGAGCTTGCTCAGCTCTTTGGCCTGTAGACGAAATCGTTAAGAGTTCACCTGCAAAATAAGATGCACTTGCAAAGTTTTTATTCTTGAAGGATTGGGTCATTGCTACTTGTAATGCATTAATCTTGTGTGGGCTTTGAAGTTTGGCTCTGGTAAAATAGGCAGCCAATTCTAAGTTACGTTTGACCTCTGATGGGTCTAAAGCACGACGTGCCAATTCGATGGACAAACCCAAGATATATTCACGACAAACAGTCAAAACATCTGCACATTTTGCCTCTTGCTGTTCATCTTCGACAGTTATAACGGCAATTGTATAAATAATATCCCTGAAAGTGCTTATGGCATTCTCTAAGTTGTTGGCCTTGAATTGTTTGAACCCAAGTGTAAGTCTGTCTTCCAAGCTATCAAATCCTGGAATAAATGGCGCAAACTTCTTTGGATTATCTTCGTCGTTATCAGCCCTAATAAAAGTTTGCATTGATGGTAAATCGTCAACACCTGGTAAGTACAATTTCGAAGCTTGGTAAACCTCTAAGAAACGTTTACGTAACGGTTCAAAGTCAACAACTCCTAGCTGTTTATGCAACATAGATGCAGCTTGGTCAAATGCACCAGCTGCAACATAGCCAGCAGGTGTCTTTGCATTACGAAGCCAGTAGCCAATTTCACCCTCTGATGTCGCGGACTTCAATGAATCATCAATTTCAATTCCTGGTGTAGCTTCCACAATTTCATCGTCAATATCTAACTCATCATCATCCAAATCCCATGCTCCTTCATCCTCTTCGCCTTCATCATCCATGTCGTCATCAACAATGTCCAATGTATTAGTAGATTCTTGGAAATTTTCTTCGGTTTCATCTTCAATAGACAAGTTCTCGACTTGACCAGTCAATAAGGCATTTTCGAAGAAAGATAATGAAGATTCTTTCATTGGCCAATTACCAACTGGTTCAGCCAAAGGTTCTGGTAAGGGCACAGCTTGTCCAAGTTCTGGTAACTCAACATCCTTTTCTTCTACACCCGCTTCTTGCAAGATTTGTTCAGCCAACTCAGTGAGACCGTTAGACTTAGCTAATGTATAAGCCAATGGTAACATGCCACCTTGAATATAAACTTGACATCTCTTTTTAATATCGTTATTATAGAAAGTATTTTGAATCAAAGATGAGTAGTCACCACGATGCTCAGCAATTGTTGCCATTTTATTTAATCTTTCACCATCACCCTTGTACAAGTAGAGGAACGATAATTTGTCGAATAAATGTAATTGCTGATAAACTAATTCGACAATTTCAACGTTACCCTGGTTCAAAGCTTCATCACCCAATTTTTCCCAAATACTGTTATTGTTTAACGCCTTAGCTTGTTCCAAAGCCACTTGCAAATTACCACATTCTAAGGCTAATTCAAACCTAGTTTCAGGATCTTCCACGAATTGCAATGCAACTTCTGGGTATCCCTTCTTCTGTAAATAAGCAATAATGTTTTGACCGACCAAGTTAGAATTCTTAATGATTCTTAAGACCTCATTGAAGTTCTTGTTGACTAAGGACTTTTTAAATCTATATTCAGTAGGATCAATAGTAACTACTTGAACTTGACCCGCGCGATCTAAACAATAAATTTGCTTTTGAGCGACTCTGGTAATATATAAGGTATTCTCTAAGGTTTTGATAATACCATTATCACCGTTCAATAAAGTATACTTGATGTGGTTCAAAGTAGAATATAATAAAACGCCTGAGTCATCCCAAGCAGCACTCTTAATTCTAATTGTTTCGTGCATGGATGTAACCAATTCTAAATCCTTAGTGGCAATAGTGATAGTATGTTTAGATAACAAGGCTAAATATTGACCATCGTTAGACCAAGAAACATATTTTACGTTATTAACACTAATTTCCGACAATTCTTTTCTTTGTTGAACATCGTAATTTATAACTGAGTGACTCTTGACCAATAAAACACGACCAGCACCCCCATATAAAACATCATTGACAGATGAATCTAACTGGATGCTTTTAGTAACATTATTATTCAAATCTTTAACATTCAAACTCTTGGTAGATTTAACAAAACTAACGAATCTATTACGAGAAATAAAACATGCAAAATTACCTTCACCTTGTCTAACATCGGTAGGCTCAATAGCTCCAGTTACATGCTTTGGTAAAGTAATTAAAGCGTACATACCAGCGTCACCTTCACCATGAGTAACTAAAATTGAGTTGTCAGACTGATTATAAGACAAAGTTCTCATAAATGACCAAGCCTTACCAATCTTCTTTAAGGATAACATTGGTAAAGAATTTTCATTCTTTTGGAAATCATAACATTGAACTTGCTTCTCATTATTAACATAGAATAATTTGTTTTGGAAAATTGCATGCGCTGGTCTTTCTCTTTCCAATTTAAATACCATGACACCTGAGTCATGGCACGTAGCAAACAAGTTGATATTTGGGTGCGATGCAACTAACCAAAATCTGTCATGTTCACGTCTAAATTGTTTAACGGGAGTTCTCTTGTTCAAATCCCAAACTCTGATGGTTTTATCATCAGATACCGAAACAATCAAATCTTGATTTGGGTGGAAAGTTGCACATAACACATTACCTGTATGCCCTCTACAAGTATCAACTTCCCAGGCTTTAGTATCGCTCATTCTCCATAACTTAACCAATCTGTCATCACCAGCAGACACAATTAATGGCAAAGTAGGGTGGAAAGCAGCCCAATTCACACCCTTGTCATGACCCTCCAAGACATATTTTACAATAGCATTAACGTTACCGAAAATATCTTGTTGGGGTAATTGTTGTCTCTGTAATTGATCTTCGAACGATCTCATCGAAGAAGTTGGAGCAGAATGCTTCTTTCTCAACCCAGAAATATCCCAAACCCTAACTGTTTGATCCAACGAGGCCGAAACTATTAAATCTTCACTAGGGTGGAATTGTGCAGACATAACATAGTGATTATGTCCAGTCAAACACGCGATTTCCTGACGGTTTTGCCAGTTCCAGATTCTGATGGTTTGGTCATCAGAACAAGAAATAATCCATGGCAAATCACGATGGAATGAAACCGTACGAATATAATCCAAATGTCCATTCAATGTAAAGATACATTTACGCGTGTTAAGTGACCAAACTTTGATTGAATAGTCATCACCACCAGACACAAACAATGGTTGGGTTGGATGGAAATCAACACATCTAACCGGACCTTCGTGGTCTTCAAAACGATCAATCAATGTTCCCATACGGTAATCCCATAATTGAATGGTCGACGAATGCAAAGAAACCAAAACCCAAGGCCTTTTAGGATGAAATGCAACCCCCTTGGCTCTTGAAGATTTGGATTCAAATTTAGTTAGCATCTTCATTTTGAATCCTTTTATTAAGAAAAATTAATATATATATGCCAAATATCAAATAGGTCTACCCTGATAACAATAACACCTCGAAGATATATATATCAATTAATTTTAAAGTTTCAATTGTACGAATCCTTATAATATTTCAATCTTAACTATATGAATTTGATTCGGTGGTCAATTTGTTGTTGATGGAAAAATGTTTAGACACGATCCAAATTCGCGCGGGCTCAAAATTAGCTTACTATGGAATACGAATTTATCGAATACTTTATTAGAAGCTATTATAGATAATGACTAAATATATATATGATGGACTCTAAAAGAACAAAGAGATGACCCCAAATACAGTGGCTGAAGCGATACCGAAAGCTGTCGCAATATTAAAGGTTGGGGAGTTGTTAGAACTTGAAGACGATCCAGAAGATCCAGAGGATCCAGAAGAATCAGAAGAATCATCTGTCTTCTTTGAGTTTTGGACAAAGCCACCAATACCACCACTTGGATTGTAGGTGGCGGCACCATCGTTACCGTCACTATCTCCAATAGTGGCCTTTGGATCAGTAGGAACAGCTACGGTTTTGGAGGTAGATGTGCCCGTAGAGCCGGACTTGGACTTCGAATTCGACTTGGATTCGGACTTGGACGTGGACTTGGAGCTCTTCTTCTTGTCGTTATCTGGATCGAGACCAGTAGCGTCACCATTACCCAACCAGGTCGTTTTATTGGTCAAGTAGATATTGTCCATGTTCCCGTCGGTGGAGTTGAAAAGGAATGCGTGCAAATCATCCGGATCGTCACTACCATCAAGCTCGACATCATCAGGTAAGTCATAAGTAGTAACTTCAACTTCCTTCAAATAGGCATAGTAGTATCCGGTCTTCTTAATATCTTCGGAATCCCAGTTGATTTCACCACCGGCCCATTCAATAGTACCAAGACCATTCGAGCTGGCACCACCTGGCCACAATGACATTTGAATACGTGATGGAGTTTGAGGATAGTCGTAGTCACCAGTGGTTTCGTTCTTGGTGTCCTTCTTCTCTAAGGTACGCACCTTTTCGTCATCCACATACCAGTCAATTTTATCCTCTTGCCAGTCGATGGTGTAAGTGTGATAATTCTTGAAAGTATCGGAAGTGGACGAATTTTTAGCGTTATTATAATCCAAAATACCCTGGTGATAGTAATTTGACTGTGGTGCAGTCAAATTGTAACCGACGTATTCAAAATCAATTTCATCTTGCACATCAGAGAATAAAATAAACGCAGTAATAACACCCCCATCACGAGAAGTCTTTAACTTGGCGGAAACTTTTCCGTACCATAAGTACTTCGAAGATGAAATAACAGTACCCGATGTATGGTTAGGCATTTGTAATAACAATGCATCGTCATGGGTGTCAATATATCCCGTATAAAGCCAGTCGGTTTCAGATGAGTTTCCTAAGTACTCGTCTTGTTTTTCAAGTTGTTTAGTTGAAGTGAAGGATGTGTTGAAGTCGGTCATACGTGGCATAGGCATGCACGAGTCCAAACTATACGAAAATCTAATGTCACAACCTCCTAAGCAGTAAGCCCCGGTACCACATTGTCCGTATTGCGAGCAACAAGGCGACGACTTAGGACATTTGTTGTCTTTATCACACGAAATAGTATCGTCATCTCCAAGAGCAAACTGTAAAAGCGAAAGAATCACCGGTATTAAGTACCAGCTTTGATAAATAGCTAATTTCATTTTAGCGGTCGTATTTGTAGATCCAAGTAGTTATAGGTTTCCGATCTATTAATTAACTTACTTTATAACTAAAATTTAGCGTACTAACTTCCTCAAATATAAATAGGATAACCTTTCAACGGGATCTGTAATAATCTAGTATTTGAACCTATAGTCTTATATATATGAACTTGGTTTGCTTGTTAGAGGTGTAAGAAATTTTCTTGAATCGCCTATTTATAGCTTACAAGCTTCGCGTTTAAGGCAAATTTTCGTATTGATGTTTTGCCAAATTAGGACTAATTAGAGAGCCTGCTCCATAATCAAGTGTAATTGCATCAGTTATCAATTGCATAGGTAAAAAGTTGTTATAAAGATTCTACGAGCATCATGAAAGTGTTATGGGTATGAGTGATGATATACGAGGTAAATCGATGGCTTTTCTGAAGGCTTCACTAACATAAGCTTCAGGGTATTGTGTTGAACTACGAGCATTGTGCAATATGTAAATCGTCGAGTAGGCTATGAGGAAAATGGTTACATACAGTATTTACCGTACATAGCATATTTATCTAGTTACTTGAAAAGAAATTGTACATATTTGGCTGATATGTCGACGGTTGATTGTAGATAAGATCGTTGGAGCTAGAATCCGGTTGTTGGGAAACATTTGACGGATTTGAAGGTGACGAAAAGTTACCAGTGGGATTAGAGGCTGGAGGCTGAAATTGGGTGTATGGGGCTTGTGAAGGCGCATTTGGTGCAGGTTGCGACGAGTAAGATGGTCTCTTTGGTGGAAGGGCTGGAGGTGGTCTTGAATAGGAGCCGGGGCTTTCGTTGGAGTGGTTGCTGGCAAAACTTCCACCTGTAGAAGACCTATGTAACGAAGGCTGGGAGTATTGGGATGGAAGATTGCGTGTTGATGAAGGGTAATTACACGAAAAGTTCCCGGTGCTATATTGTGATGGTCCCGGCTGATCAATATATGAGGGCCTATACGACTGGCTAGCACGAGGTGGAGCTTGAAGTCCCAGTTGTTGTGGGCCCAAATTCATGTTGCTGAAATTCTCATGTAAAGTAGATTGGGATGATGTATCCACTGCTGTAACAATATTTTGCTTAAGCAGTCTGGCGTAGTTCAAAAGCTTGTTGTAGAAGTCCACCCCTGCGCTTAATCCCAAGTTATACTTTTTCCAGTTTTGACTATAGAATTGTATAATTTTGTCAGTTTGGTGTTTAATTAGATTGTTTTGAAATTGCTTGGATGACTGAATCTCCTTGACTTTGGAATCTTCCGACAAATTGGCCCACTGGCTCTTCAACTCATTAATAAACGTTTTTTCTTGTTCAATTAGCTTGTCTAGTTCTTTTCCATACGGTTCAAATTTCTTCAATTCTTCTGGGAAGATTACTGTCTTTATCTCATTAGTTGATTTGACCTTACTATTCAAGATTAAAATATCAGAAATATCGTCGTTATGTATTTCTTTCTTCAACGTGTCAACCAATTTTGATTTGTTACTTTTTATCGAATTCAAGTCATGTAATATATCTTCTATGGATTTGATTTTGCTATCAATAGAATCCGAAGAATTTGCTGAGCCTGATAATTGAGAATCATCGATGTCTAATAAACTTATTTCATTTTCCACACTCTTCGATTGTTTCTTAGAATTATCAACGTTGAAAAGCATTTTAAACTCTGGAGAATCAGCTCCTTTACCTAAAATACTGTATAAATGCGAATTGTCGTTATTTATAAGTCCAAATAAATTGTTATCAGAGTTACTAGCATCAACCAATGATTTCTTTAACCTCACTAAGTCGTCTTTATACTTAATCAAAGATTCTGAAAATTTGCCTGATAAACTTGATTCACTTTCAGTAATTGTATTATATATCTCTTTCCTAATAGCAGAAATATGATCTTTGTTGGACGTATCTGCATCATATTTTGAGGAAATTTCATTGACAATATTTCTGACTTCTGGGCTTATGTTAGTTCCCAGAGATGCTGACATAGCATCAACTTGCTTGCTGCTATTCATAATTTCCTTTAGGTTGACTAATGACTTTGGCATTTTTAAATATTCCAATATAGAAGCCAGTTCCTCATTTGAGACATCAACCAAGTCAAGTTCATTTCTTAAGAATTGAGATTTCTCTTCGGAATAAAAACTTAACAATTCATGAATATTTATCGGCACAACATTACTAAAAAAGTTACTGTAGTTATATTCATTCAAATCATTGAAAAGCTTACTATTATTGATAGGGATAGTTTTGACACCATCCATTGGCTTTATTTCCGGTAATGTTATCAAAGAGGGGATTATATCATGATAAATAAAATCATTATCTTTATTCATGTCGGTCAACTTGATTCCGACTGCATCCTTTTGATATTTATAATTATCTAAAAGTTCATAGGAATCATTTGAGCCCGATTTAGAAATCGCTTTCAACGTGTTACTAGATATTTCATTTAAGATATTTTGAGATTTTGTTAAATAAGCAATTGAATCCCCATATTTGCTATTCTTCTCTAACTGCAATCCATTAAAGTAATAAGACAATGCTTCATAAAACTGAACTTTGAAGTGAATAACTGCAATCCAAGAGGCGTCTATGTTCGCTGTGACTTGTGGTTCACCATCTTTCTCGGTCGTATCATCTTCTTCTTCCTCTTCTCCAAGAATGTCATCTATATTTTCGTTCGTATCAATAACTGCAAATTCATCTTGCGACCGTCCGATACCTGCTGACTTGTTCGTGTTGCTCACCATATTGAAACACTCGGTGTAATGGTTTGTAGTACCCTGGCACAACTTGGCAATCAAAGAATTTTTATTTTGTTCTAAATCGCCACTAATCACCTTCAACACAAACACCTCTTGTGCTTGCGCCAACATCAACTTTTCAAGAAATTTGACACTACCCTGGTGTAGGTCATTCGATGGAGCATGCAAAAAATTCTCGTTTAAAAATTGGTATATACCGGCGGTCTGTTGTAGGATCTGTAATGATTCTTTGATGGTGTCATCTGCTGCTGCAGACGAACTATTGCGTTGTGCCTCCTCGTATTTTGCACCAGCATACCTAGATAATAAGGCTCCTAAGTTGAACAAAACACAGGCTTTCTCAAATGCTAATGCTGTTTGTTTATGTACAACTGATGGCTGGAATGCATCGTACCACGAAAAGTTGAGCTTCTTATGTCTATTAACAGTAGAGAATGGAAACCTCAAGTCCAATAATTCCAATTGACTGTAATAATTATAGTATAGCTTGATACCTGTATTATCAGCACTAACCCCTCTTATATCTTGTCTTAATTTGTCAAACTTCTCTAAGTCTTGCTGATATTCAGTGGTATTTCCATAAATAGACAATAAGTAATTGTTCAATGGTTTAGTCCAACTGGTTTCTTCTGACTTTTTAGTTGGTATTGAAAAAAGATATGTCTTCATTTCAACCTCTATATCCTTCTGCTTTTGTATATTTCAATATTTCTAAATGAATCTGAACCTAACAACCTAGCCTTTGATACGTCTTCCGTAAGGGGTTTGCTCACTGAGAGACATTTATTGCGACATCTCTATATAGCTGCAAAATGCATTTTTTTATCATTCATGAGCCAGTACTCTCATTGAGCTTGCAGACGCTTCTCCTATCTTTGCTGTTGTTGGCAGTGCTCAACTTAGAAATGGTAAAGTTGAGTTTGATCAATTTGAAACGGAATGCTAATAATCAGAATGTTGCACCCTAATTTCTCATCCCCAAAACGTTATACGGCATTCGGAAAAATATCACCTATTACCATCTACACTTTCTGTAATATATTTAGATTTCTTAAACGGTTTAATCAAATGAAATAAGTTAAAACTTTGGTCCAGGTGAGTTCTAAAGGTTTATGGTGTACCAAGGGGATTGTTTATTATATGCAGTATAGATATCAACAATCACGATGGGAGATGAATATAGATATATATTTATGGGGTATGTAGAGTAAGAGATTAATATATGAATAGATACAACAAAAGGCAGCGGTTTGTGTATCAAAAAGTTATAGAACTTTCAAATGATTTGAAAAATCTAATTCCGGTTGGCACTTTAAACTTCATCGACCTACCATTGAAGTATTCAGATTTGGGCGGCATTAGGGTAGTTGATAATGGAAATCAAAGTACAGACAAAGGGCAACACGATGGTTGGAGTTGGTTAGATATCGACTTTTTTGTTTACATATGCAAAGGAGAGGTACATCCCATTGTCAGATATATACAATTTCTTGTTGATTTTAGATACGCCATGGCTACTTTCAAATTTATAAAGGTACAAGTATCTCCTAATTCATCTTCATATACAACAATATGCAAGGTCAGGGTATATGTTATTCCAAATGATGCGCCTGGCTCCCGATTCATAACTGAATGGAGATCTCTGAAACCAAAGAATTTAAATTTAGAGAAGAGATTCACCGATATATGGTTTAAACTTTTAGAAGTATTAGATTATTCAAAGAAAAATTGGCACTGTATCTCCTCAAAGTCTACATTAAGTCAATATATTGGTAGGGGAGTATTGTTAATATCTACTACGGCTGCAAGCGATGGCACACGGTACGAAATACAAGACAACCTAGAGATTAATTTTCATATTGATCGATGGGCACAGAACAGACCGTTTGAGTCCTATTCCCGGAAACCTTCCAACACTTCCAAGGAATCGTTTGGTGCTAAAGTTCTGCAGATTTATAATAATATTACATCACCAAACTTGACTGAATACGAAAATAAGGAAAGTAATTTCAAGGAATCCAATTCACTCCCAAGCCCGGAGGACGTGATTATCGAATTGTTACGAAAATCAAAAATTGGTACACATTCTATCAAAGGTGTTTTTTCTAGGCTATATCCATTTCAAGTCATGTCTGTATGTAAAATGTTTGAAAAAGAATCAATTGATAGAAAGGCGTTAGTACCCAATTTCATCCGAATCAAATCCCCTAACTCAGATATTCACTATTACTTTGATATGACAAACAAAAGCTTTTATTCTAAACCAGAATTGTACTCCCTACCTAGAGGTGGTATTTTAGCGGAGAATATGGGATTAGGGAAGACACTTATATGCTTAAGTCTCGTATGTTTAACCAAATGTGATGTATCAGGAATTCCGCCGTCTTATTTATTGTATAATGGAAATGAAAACGAGAAAATTGCAGAAAATCTGTTCGAATACGATTCCAATTCAACTTCTTCTTGGAAGAGTCTAGCCGAATTATGTAAAGAATGCATAAACCAAAACTCTTTGCCGTGGAAACATTACATTGAAGATATTCCTATATCGGTGGTTAATCGATTGTCGAGCTCACCTGGTTATTTTAGAATTCCTTTAGAGAATCATGGGTATGACTCGATATACAGTTTAAGAACCCGAAAAACATCAAGTAGGCAGAAATTAATAAACAATGATCTATCTCCAGAGGGAAGAATCTACAGAACGCTTTATTTGTGTAATACTACATTGATAATAATTCCTGATAACCTTTTCCATCAATGGAATAATGAACTAAAAAAGCATATTGAGCCTTCGTTTCTTGATAAGCTATTTGTTTCAAGCCAGTTCAAGGAACCAATTTATTCTCAAAACTCAACATTCATGAGTGAACTTCCTGACGATCCAAAATATTTGGTAAAATTCGACATGATTCTCATAACACATTCCTTACTTGCAAAGCAGCTTGGCAATTTAAATAAATATGACAATCCCTTAGATATGATATATTGGAAACGTCTAATTATTGACGAGGGTCATAGTGTACAGTCTAAGAACTCTAGAACAAGTTTACTTTGTAAGAGTTTACATTCTGAAAGACGTTGGGCTGTAACAGGTACACCTACCTCTGGTTTAACAAGACTACATATGGATGAAGAACAAACTGAAACATTGGCCCAGAATAATGAAACTAAATTGAAAATGAATCATTATGTTGTTAAGAGTAAATTCAACGAAAGAGATGATTTAAACAAGTTGGGGACCATAGTAAGTAATTTCCTAAAAATTGAACCTTTCCACTCTCAACCTAAGGTATGGACAAACTCAATCATAAAGCCGTTAACTTCAAACTCGTATGGTTCTACTGTTAGTCTATCAAATTTGCTAGATGCTATAGTTGTTAGACATGCGTTAAAAGACATCGAACTGAACTTGAAATTGCCTGCATTACATCACCAACCAGTATTCTTGAAGCCATCATATCATAACAAAATTGCAATCAATTTATTTACGGCAGTCTTAGCAGTAAATGCTGTTTCATCCGAAAGAATTGATGTTGACTATATGTTTCATCCTTCTAACCGCCAACAACTTAGAAGATTGATTACTAACTTGCAAAGAGCAACATTCCATTGGACCGGTTTCAAGCAAAACGATATAGAAACTTTAATTCACATATGCAATTTGTCCTTGAAGAAAAGAAAGGCAAGCGGAAATTCAGTTTACAGCGACTATGATATATCGCTCTTAAAAAAGTCTATTGAAGTTTCTAAAATAGCATTAAATAATCCAAGGTGGAGAACTATTGCATTATTACATGAAATGAATTATTATGTCTCTGGCTTGCCTGACATTTTTACTAAGACCTACGGAACAGGAGTCTTGGAAGTAACAGACCAAAGCGGGAAGCGTGATGATATTAGTGTGTTTGGGGCTCCGCATCTTAATGCTATTCAAGAATTTTTTTATAAAAATAGGTTCATGGATATGAACAACGAGGAAGCATTGCGATCTAAATTGTATTTGTCTTCTAAACCATTTTGGTCCTCATACTGGAAGGACAATATGAAGCGAAATTCTGAACGATTTAATAAGCAAGATAATAATCAAAGCCTTAATTCAAATGTCAAAGCAGAGGAAATAGAAAATGCTATTAATGTTCCAAGTATTGTTAAAAACTTTAAACCAGAAAGCGAATTACAAGCACCAGAGTTGTCAACTCCCAAGTCTAACAAAACACATGGTAAAATCGCAGAAGTGAGTCCAAAGGAGAGGTTGGTTAGAAATGATGGAGAAGGTTTGAAACTTACAGACGAAATTAAAACAAACCAATCGATAGACGATCACAATATAAATTATCAGTCTATTAAAACTGCACAAATATTAGGCACCGCTTCAGCTAAACTTTCATATCTAGCAAGCCGATTACTTGAACATCAACAAGAAAAGGCAAAGTCGCTTGTTTTTTTTGAGTTTGAAGATAGTGCCTATTACTTGACGGAACTATTAGAAGTTTTGGGTATCAAGTATATTCTATATGCGACATTTATCAATCCCTCTCAACGTACAAATAACTTGACAGAGTTTAGTAATTTTCCTGGAGGAGTGACTCTCATTATGGACTTACGATTGGCATCTCATGGCTTAACTATTCTTTCGGCAACTAGGGTATATTTTATAAATCCTGTGTGGCAAAGGTCAATTGAAGCCCAGGCAATTAAAAGAGCTCACAGAATCGGACAAACAAAGGATGTTTATGTGGAAACTTTAGTTTTGAAAGGAACATTGGAAGAAGAAATATATAAAAGGAGATTTTCAAATGAAGAATCTGTGAATGATGTAAGGGATGAGACTGACAAGTCACAAAAAAGATACGTTATTGATGATACGGGAATGCAAGAATTTATTTTGAGGCATAACTTCTTGGAACATGAGGCTAATGAACAAGAATTTGCTCCATTTGTCGCTCCAGCGATAAATCCTGATTCTTCTATAAATGATGATACGCAAAACTTGAGCCTGGAATATTCCTTACTTAACCATAAGGATGCACTCCAACGCACAAAGGATTCCGGTCTATTAAAAGAATGGAAGACATATCTCTTCAATGAAGATAATTTGGCATTCTCAAGTAACATTAAGAACCAAAGGCTCAATAAAAAGTTTTCCCAAAATGAGTTTCTTCGTAAATTTGTTGACCCAAAAGAACAAGATACAGATTTAAATACAGATGAGAAAAAGACAAAAACACATATTGATGGTCCCCGTCATAAGAAGGTACGCTTTTGAAGTTTATATTTCATATTTACATTATTGTACAATATATCATACTATATCTCTCTAACTATAATTGAGCCATCTGTAGAAGTAGATGCTAAAATACGCTCTGTCGGATGATAAACGATATCAAGCGTAGCACCTCTATGACCCGAGATTTTACTGAGTATCTTTCTAGATTTATAGTCCCATATAGTAACAGTTTTATCTTCAGAGCCTGAGGCAATCGAAACATTGTCTGTACTGAAACATGCTCTAATTAGCTGGTATTCATTTCCCGACGGAGCACCATCATATATGTACGGGTTCATCCTAGGAATACCTTCAGGAACAAATTCTCGAGCACTATATGTCCTCAATGCACCATTCAAAGAACGAGATAACAAGATGGAATCATCTTTATTAATAGCAATGGATGTTATGGAGTCTACTTGGCCTTCGCAAGTCCATACGGGTTTGTCCATCACTCTCATATCGTATGCCTGAATCTTAGGATCAATTCCTCCTATATAAAATGTATTACCTCTATTATTGAAAGTGCAAGACAACAATGGGTATTCAGTCGTCACTTTGTTTGTTGCTTCTTTTTGTCTTTGGTCCCACAAGCACGCAGATCCATCATCGCTAGCACTAAGTGCAAGAGAATCCTTTGACACGCTTATCTCATTTACTGCTAGCTCATGGCCCACACATTTCTTGGTTCTTTTACCAGTCTCACTGTCCCAGAACCCAATAGTTGTATCAGCACTTGCACTCACCAATGTTATGTCGTCATAGAGCCATCTCACAGAAGTTACAGCTGACTTATGACCCTTTATTACACCATAATTAGGAGTTTCCTCTTCTTCGCTACGTGGTAATTTCCATAGTAGAATAGTTCTGTCTAATCCTCCAGATGCAATATTATCACCGTTATGGCTAAAACTTGAGGAGAGTACTGATCCTTGATGTCCTTCAAGGACCACGGCTTCATTATATAATATTTCTCCGGCATTAGTACTTCCGATCAGTCTTGAATGAGCTAGGGCTTTATGATAACCATTGTCTGTCTTCTGTCTTTTAACTAGAGACATATCGTATTCTAGCGGCTTTACCTATCTTTTAAATATTAAAGCTAGGAAAAAGATTGACTTTTCTGCTTACAATGCGGCTCAAATCATTTTAAATATTCTGTCATTAGAATTATGACTTCTAGGCATAAGAATCGTAAGTACATAATGCTATATAACTAAGCTAAATACTCGTATGTATCATTGTCAATACGGCGCAAATATTCTTTTTCAATCAAGTAGTCAATTACTCTCTTGATATCAATGATCTTAGCACGGAACCGCGATAACGATTGTGTAGCGACATCATTAACTAACTCATTATGCTTCATTTGCTTTCTAGCTTTCATTATTCTGACGATACAAGCAGAAAGGTAATTTCTTCTTGATTCATCAATTTCTTTATTAGTATTTTCTTCTTCTTGCTTCTGTTCTGTTTTAATTGAGCTTACAAAATTGACTCTCAACTTTTTAGATTTATACTCCTCGACGATCGTAAATTTAGTGTCATCCTTACTAAAGCACTCAGCTCCGGGTGGATTCTGATCAATTAACTTATATTTAGTGAACGGTAATAAGTGAGCTTCAAAGGTATGTTTAGCAACTCCAACAGTATCAAATAATTCTTTAAATGAGTAGGTGTTTGATTTATTAAATGCTAAAAGAATCATTAATTGGACATTGCTGACAGTGAAAAGAAATGGAGGCTTCCCTTTACGTGATAAATTAGCCTTTACTTCGCTCTTTCCGTGGTTCCATAACCACTGCAACTGTCTTCCAGTATGTTTCTTATTATAGATTTCTTGAACTTTGTCGAAAGATGGCATTAATTCGGGTGCAAGTTTTAATTTATAATCATCCAGATGCTTAAACGGCCACATGCTTTGAGCTAAAATCAATGGTGTGAAATCTTTAACCTGATTATCAGTTTGGCTTAACTCTTCTCTTACATTCACCTTCAAATCTTCAGACGATTTCATATCTTGGAACATCTTCGTCATTTTGGAGGTGTATTCTAAAGAATTTTCTTCTTGTAATTTCTGGATGATGCTTTCCTCTAATTCGTCTGATTTGGTATTATTATTAATTAATCTCTTGGCCAATAAACGACGATAATGTTCTTCAAATGCATCTTTATCATCAATGAATTTGAAGATGATCATCAAATTGTCTGGGGTCATACCAATTATATCGGACTCTCTACTAGTTGCTTTCAAGAATCCATCTGCATATCTTGCCAACAAATCTGGAGTCTTACAATTAGATTTAGGGGTTGGAATAGCAATAGAATTTTTGTTAACAAAGTAGCGACATGCATTATCCAAAGACTTGATAAATATTGGATCCTTATTAATAGCAACGGTGACAATATCATTAAACTTGATATAAATACTGATTAATGTATGAATATAAGATTTTGGACTAACAAGACCAGCAGTAGTTCTCTTTGAAGTTTTACCGTCTGCAGACTGTTTGGATAGATCTTCTATATCTTCAGATGGATTTTTAATTTCTTCTATCGCCTTAGAGGCTTCATCTTTAATGTATTTCTCTAAAGTATCCGCTAATGGTTGTAATGTCGATGGTACGCGAGCCAATAATTTGTACATTATCTGAATGTGCTCGATTTCATCTTGTTCTAACAACCTTAAAAACTGATCATACATTGCTTGAGCATGATCCTTGATTAAAACGGTATTAAGTGTCTCCAACAAAAACTTTTTAGTATGGTTATCTAAATAGTTATTGGATCTGGAGACTTCTTCAGACAATCTCGTGTCACATTTCTTCATATAATCAACCACATTGTGTTGTGAAAGAAATTTGGCACTTTCTTTGCTATAATATTCAGCAGTTTTCTGTAAGAATTTGTGTTCGAAATGTTTGATGTATACAACCAAATTAGGCTTTTTCAAGTCCTGAATATCAATTCCCAAATATACCAATGATTTAATAGCCGTTGAGATATAATTCGAATCAACAATTTCATTATTTCTCTGTTTCTCGATCTGATCCAACACCTCGTCAATTAATCTGTCTGCATTATTATTAAATAAATGGCTCTTCCATTTCAATAACGACAATGTATTGACATCAAAGACATCTCTTCTACCATCTGACCTTTCCTTTTGGACCCAATAACGGTTCATATAATCAAACACATTATTCATGTATCCTGCTCCTATGGTAAATCTCGTCCATCTCTTAACATAAAACTCCAAGAATGACTCCAGAGGATCTTTTTTTAAGCTTGTAATAAACTGCACTAGATATTCGTCCAATTTAGCGTAGATTTCTGCTCCTGCTAACGAATATGAATTATTTCCCGAAACAGCACTAACAGGTGTGTTTGCAGAGCCATGACGTGATTTATTAACACAGTAATTATAAATAGCTGTATAGCAGTTCATATACATCTTGGAAGTCACCCCCTGGTCTCCTTGAGCTCCTAAAATAAATTCTAACCCTGGTTGAATAAATGACCAAGTAGCGTTCAAATCGCTAGCCACTGGGAACGATTGAGACATCTTTTAAAGCTACACTTATGACAATTGATTCCTATCGATTTTCAATGTTTCTTTTCAAGCTGACTCTCCGAGAAACTCAATTGGGTTGAAGATCAAATGTAATCCTTATTAATTCTATAGTAACTATATAGATCTGATTTATATCCATGTTACACTTATTCTACAGATGTAGTAGCCGTGAGAAAATCAACTATTGGTCGCGACACGTAATCTAACAGATCTAGCTACTATAACTAAAATCTAGTGTATTAAAATACTATAAAGGTTATAAATTAATCGTTTCTTGGTGATACGCTAACTCTATCGACCACTCTAATTATACTTATTGTAAAAGTCAATACCCATAAACATAGCACTAAGAATAAGAAGGCTGCTAAGGCCCTTTGTCTTCTACATATAGAACTCACTATAGGTGTAAAAATACCAAGGGATTCCAACCCCGGTGTATCGTCATTTTCACAAACCCATTCACCATCGTAGAGGGTATTAAAGGTTAAGGAAAGGTTTGCGGAAGAAAATATGATGAACAACAAATCGAGCATGATAAGCTTCATTTTACCTAAGGGGTTTCTCAAACCCAACGGCTTACCACTGTATTCATCGTAGGAAATGTAGATAAGATAGGCTATAGCACAACACTGAACCACGATGGCCATTATGGTACTGGGTTGTTGCTCGACGGTACTTCCATCGTACTTATGTCTAGAAAGAACAAAAATCGAACATGCAAGAGCCAATGCACAAGCAGAGAAGCATATAATCAATACTCTCAAAAGAAGTGGTACAAGGGGATTTTGGACAAATATTCTCTTTAGCATCGGAACTACATCTTTTCTCTTTTCGTCCGACATCCAGTAACCTGCCTTCGACCGCACCTTAGGGTAGTCATGGTCTAGATCTTTTGAAACATTCTCCTTTTTACCAAAACATCCAAAACACCCAATATCATCTGCAATGTAAGTGTCCTCTTCTGTGGATGACTGGCCCAATAATGCTGTTTTAAGTCTATCCTCTCCACCCCAAGGACCATCCAATTTCCAATCACTGTTGAATTCGTCATCCAACTTCATTCTTCCCGGTGCATAAGCTGGACGCTGTTCCACTGAACGCAAAAGATTATGCCAATTATTGTTCATCGACTTGACAAACGGATCGTTGGAGAAACTCATATATTGTTCCTCATCGTCAATTTTCGAATGAGATGTCTTGAGTGATGGGTTGGGTTCTGCCTGGTTGCTATTTAAGTTTGTATTGTTTAATTGGTCTTTGTAATGTGCTTGAGTCAACGTATCCAACACATATGGGGGTATTATGTTCGGTTTATGACTGTATGATTTAACTTTAGTATTGTCAAATGCATGTGTTGGTGCTTTGGTGAACGACTGTCTAGATTCAGCCAAACTAGTTCCTGAACTCAATACTCTATTATTTCCTGAGTTTGAAACTCCCTGGTTCTGCTCTCCGTCAAGTTCAGACATCAGTTTATTATAAGATGCTTCTAATTAGTCTAGCTGTTAGCAATATTCTACTAGTTTTAGGTCTTTACTTAATAGCAATGCCTGTTAGTGGGAAACACAAACAAATACTCTTTATGGAACAGTTTTATGATCCTGTATATAATTGATTAACCGAAGATAAGAAACTCTGTAGGATTACGATTAACTGTACCAATTGAACATATATTCGATCAAGCAGACTCTGTGTATCTACTTATGGGGGTCAAGGTCCTATAATTTGGCTGAATATCGCTTTCTGTGATAAAAAATGAAAAGGAGGGGAAACACTGAAATTTTTCAGTGATGAGGACGTAAATAGTATGACAGCCAAGAACTCAGTTTTTGGTATACTTCAAGTGCTCCTTGGACGATGTTTATTCTACATTCAATCAAATCACTATCAGTAGGTCGTAGTCCCCAACATCATGTAGACCATTTGATGAAATTGGGCAATGCTAGAGTCATTGATGTGTCGGTCACGTTGAGCAATATTGCGACATGCTGGAACATCAATTATCAGAGGATCAAAGTATTCTTTTTGTCGAATTAACTGTGATAAACAAGTATAGAATATCCATAATGATCAGTACTATAGGTGTATCGAAGAATATGATGCTTGTGTCGAAGGTATTAAAACGTCAACCTGCACGATTAAGAATTGGGGAAGTAGGGCCCGCACTCGTTATTGGCAGGTGTCAATCAAGCCTGGCCAAGGCCGCCACCCCAATAGATAATGATTCCATATATGTACTTTCTATCCCTATCACGAACTATAAATCATATATATTCTGCAATCATCAGCCTTCAGTGTTAGATTCAACTCAAGTTAAGTCAATTCTGTGGGTGAACAAACTCGAAGATAAACTTACATCAGTGGCAAGCAAAGGGTGGAAAAAGTTGAATGAATCGGAGGTCAGCATTAACGTAAAGATTGTCAGATTAATCAATAAGTTATTGGATACGATTCCATATGAAGAAAACTGTTTGAAATCTTTTCCATCGCAGAAATCGATGATTAGAGAGGTCAATGAGGAATACACTAAGCAAGCTGCACATAGTTCCACCAGACTCATACAGTCACAGGCTGATAAGTTACAGATACCCTCAAACCAAATTAAGCCTATCCCATTGTATCATCCCAAGTTCCAATCGCCTACCACCATTTTGAACCAGCTCTATCTGTTCCGTGACGATGCCTACAAAATGCACCTTAAATACTCCATAATATGTGCCATCGGTATCCCTATTAGTTTGCCATTTGCATTAGTTCCAATCTTACCAAATGTTCCTGGCTTCTATCTTGCCTATAGACTTTACTGCAATGTGAAGGCGTTGCTAGGAGTCAAGCACCTAGACTACTTATTGGAAGATTGTACCCATGCATCGTCTGCACCACCCAATAAATCTACTGAGAAGGAAGATATCGAAACAACTGTCAATGATACCAAACACATTGCATTTGAACATGTTGATCACTTAGATGCTGTTTATCTGTCAAACACGTTACTTGGCGACCACAACCTTCTCACCGAGGAGAAAGTCATTATTACCTCCGATATTATCGATAGTCTCTGCCAAAAGTTCAACTTGCCGCATTTAAAGGACGATCTCCATAAGGCATTGAGACAGGAGTCACATCGCTTGAAGAAAGCCGAACACAAACAACTGTAAATATGTTTCTATAGATTCGCTATATACTCGAGATTATTTTTCTTCTCCATGTAGATCTATGTTCTCGTTTTGGATCTCCAACATGTCTATCTTTAAGCTCTTTCTCACGCTATAATTTTCATGGAGATCCTCATCATCGCATACTCCGTCGATTCTTACCTTCTTTCTCGAAAGATCCCATTCTATGGCTATATTGGAACAAAGGAAAACGACAATTCCACCCATAGTTTCACCCTTTCCATCCATTGTTCCATATTTCTGAAGCTTATGCTCTATTAAATCGTCTCTTTAACTATCAAAAGTCGTAACCATAAAACACTATCTCTGTTTTCTCAAGTCATACATTGCATTGGTGATACCTGATATCATTCTTGGGTTAAAATTTTTCAATTGGTTTCAACTCGATGAATACTATCGAACACCCATCTTACTTCATGTAATTCTGAAGTCTGCAACCCTATGACCTTTCCTACAGATGCCATCATGCACCATGGAACCTTTTTATATGTGCCCTAGCTCTTCTCACATGATGTTTCACAGTCACAATAGTCATGCTAAAGGCCGACAATAAGTATTGAGGTCGTGTGAGATTTCAAAGTCATTTAGTGAGCAAGTTGGACGTTGTGCGAGTAGTTGGTATTATATAAATTTTGCAAAAGACTCCTAAGTTAATAGTATTTGTTTTTCTATTACATACACTAATTATCATTTACAATGAGAGATAAGTGGAGAAAAAAGAGAGTTAGAAGACTTAAGAGAAAGAGACGGAAGGTTAGAGCTAGATCCAAATAAGCGGATGAAGATTAACAGTATAACGGAAATGTTGGTCTAATTGATGGCATGAAGTTTCCACAAGGTTTAATGTGTGAAAACGAAATAATGAATGGTTAAATAGTTAGTCTGGATTTATAGTGTATTCTATGTTGAATTGGCAATGGTTGCCATTGAGGGTGCTGGTATTTTTGTTGTTAGTCTTGGTTTAAATTCTAGTTCTTAGTAACCGCACCAATTGCAATTTTTGTTTAATTGGAGTGTCCGTATATGAATCAATATATGCCTTAGGCAATAAAAGAATAATGTAGTTTGAAACGTAGGTTTTAGTAGTTGTAGATAAGTTTAAGAGGATATAGAGACTGTTTGCCATTAGTATTGGACGTAGTGTCGTGAAAAAGGACAAAAATGACGTTGAGCCTCTCGGGTGCTTGCGACGCAAAAAATGGCTGCAACACAAATTAATGTGACCATTTTTGTTACACGGATATGTGGTACAGAGTAGTTCAGAATGCTTGCAAATACTAATCTAAACTTCTACGATGGTAAACTCAATACGTATCGAGAAATAGGAAAAAAAAGAATCCAAAGTGGTGATTTGCGACCTCAACATTCTCAGTATTCTCAATCTGCACCAGCTACAAGATATCCACTTAGGATGGCACGTAGTTTCAATGACAGTCCAAATGTGGTAACTTCAAAAGGATGTTTGACTAGCAAATCCCATTCAAATACACTGCAGCTGAATTTGATTTACGATAAACATGCACAATTTAAACGTAATTGTGAAAATTTTGAGATTTTTGTAAATGAATGCAAGAAGAGAAGAGAATTACAATCCAACTTCCATGATTGCAACAATACAAGTTGGACGCAAGTTCAGTACTTCGGAAACAGAAATGAAGGAATTGAATCTTGTACAATTTCTAGCAATAATTCCGAACATCATAAGTTAGTCCGCAGTCTACTGAGCAGTTCACATTTGATCAGAAATGCGACAGGCCAAAGTAATGAAAATGCTAAGAAGAAGGCAATGAGGGGATACAGTGTCTCTCCTATGAGGACGGCTAGATCTCTTGGTAAAACGAATTCAACTAGAGAGTTTGCATCAAGGTTTTCCTCTAATAGCAAGCCACCGAGGTCAATTAGGCTACATGCCTCTGAGCCTAGCAGCTTTTTTGAAATCGAGTCGGAAGACTCTAGTGACTTAGCAGAAGAGAGTCCTATTCTGTATAACGATATTCAGGCCACCATAACAACACCTCATCATCCTCCCTTTTTACTTCAAACAGGAAATAATCAAAATGGGCATTTAAAGTCAAGTATTTTCTTCAGCCAAAATAATACAAGTCTAACTAGAACAGACTATTTTCAGGAGTATATGGAGGAAAGAATTGCTAGATGGAGACCTGGCAATTCTCAATTTAATGTTGAAGCTACTATGGAAGGTAAACACCCCTATCAACAAGAGCATTTTGAATTTGAAGCAAAAGCTGCGAAAATGAGACCATACAACCCTTTTATGGCTTTGAAAACTTGGTTTAATGGAAAAGGTGCAATTCCCGACCTAGAAAATCAAACACAGAGTATCTCCCATAGCAACACACACAAAAAGACAAACGAACTGACGCAAGACACACTAGGAATCCAATTACCAGAAATTTCTGAGCGTCTTAGGAAAATCGAATTTAAAGTTAATAGTTCAAATTCCATTATCCCTAAACCTTACAAGCCAGGGGAATGTTCTCACATTGCGAAGGGGTTACGTGACACAAGTACCAAACAAGAATCGACTCCAATAGATGGGCCAACTTATACACCAAAAGCACTTCCTTTCAGTGATTATGATTTGAATTTCGAAACAAAAGACTGTTTTTCAAGTCATAAAACAGAACATGGCAGTAATGCTATTATAGACTCAATGGACGAGGACATACGTTATTTGCTAAATGGGTTTGATAACTTTTTGGCTGATTGTTTTCGAAGTTTTTGGAACGCTTGTTCCTCAACAGGAAAAATGTGTTTTAATCCGACATAAGTCTTACCCTTTAGATAATCCTAGTATTTGGGAAAGGGTTATACTTTAGTTATACTTTAGAGCTATAAATTACAATAAATGTGCTAGACTCGAATTATAAAATAGAGACATAGTGCATATGAAATTCGAATTATCAATAACACATAATGATAAAATAGTATATATTTAACGAAAACATTGATAAACATTTAGCTATATAAATAAGCTATAACAAAATAAATGTAAAAGAAAAATCGAGTCATCTAAGGACAATAAAAATAAAATAAAGAATTAAAACGGATACCTTATTCTGATGCTTCGGCGAATTTTTCAGAAATGCTAGTCAACAATTCGCTGAATGCTTTCTTACCCTTTTCTTCACCTTCGGAAGGTTCAACGAACTTAGATGATGAAACAGCATGCTTGACTTCAGCAGTAGCTTCAGATAATTTACCCCATTGAGCACCATTAGCAACAGCCTTTTGAGCTTCATCATGGTAAGAGGTAAAAGCTCTCATCATATCGAATGTCTTCCAAATAGGACAGAATTGATCATAAGTAGAGTAACCGTTTTGCTGCAAGAAATCCTCCTTGATCAAGTTAGCAACATCCAAAGTAATCTTATCGGAATCAGATAAAGCAGATTTACCGACTAATTGAACAACTTGTTCTAATTCTTCAGCAGTAGACAAAATTTCTTTGATTTTGTTTCTCAAAGAAGGGAATTCCGGATAGTTAGAATCGTAGTACTTATCCAAAATTTTGGTATATTTGGAGTAAGAAATAGATGTGTTAACAGATGGGAAATGCTTTCTTTGGGCTAACTTCTTGTCCAAACCCCAGAAAACTTGAGTAATACCTAAAGTCGAGGTGGTGACAGGATCAGAGAAATCACCACCAGCTGGCGAAACAGCTGCAACAATCGAAACAGATCCAATTCTGTCTGGTGAACCTAAGGCAACAGCCTTACCAGCACGTTCATAAAACGAAGCTAACTTGGCACCCAAGTAAGCTGGGAAACCTTGATCAGCAGGCATTTCACCTAATCTACCAGAAAGTTCTCTTAAAGCTTCAGCCCAACGAGACGAAGAATCAGCAATCATAGAAACATGCTTACCTTGATCTCTCAAGTATTCTGCTAACGTAATACCAGTGTAAATCGATGCTTCTCTAGCTGCGACCGGCATATTAGAGGTATTGGCCACTAAGGTAGTACGCTTCATAATTGGTTCCTTACGACCATTAACTTCAGTGTACAATTCTGGGAATTCCATTAATACTTCAGCCATTTCGTTACCTCTTTCACCACAATTGTGTACAACAGCTTGATTGGCTAACATAAATTGGTGATCAGAATTTTCTGGAAGAGTGACACCATAGTAATCAGCAGCTTCAATTTCCTTTACTGAGAAATCGAAGTTTTGACCAGTACGGGTAAGATGACTTGGTAATGGGGTGGTTTTCTCAGCGAGAGCACATTTGCCAAGAACAGATTCTAAAGCAGCATTTCCAGTCATTTCAACAATGTAGCTTTCACCTTCTGTCTTTACTGAAGTACAGATACCAAGAGAACGAGAAACGGCAATAACACCTTCCCCTACCTTCGAATGCTCAGTCTTCACTAAAGCGGAAAGAGGGTTCTTCTTTACAGTACCATCAGAGTCAATAAGACCAGCAAGGAACTGTTCACGAACTTCAAAGGATTCAGTACGGAGGAATGATGGAATTGCTTTTCCAGATTTTGAGTCTGTGAAACCCATAGAGTTAATAACATTCCATAAGAAATCAACAGTCTTGTTTGAGGTTTGGCTAGTGTTTTCTATAGCTTCGTCATATTCACGAATACGGTCAACAAGTCCTGTGTTTTTGCCATCGATCAAGTATTGGACACGATCAGAGTAACCACTACCAACCCAGAGACCAAGCAAGTAAGACACCTTAGACGCAGTAGATACATCGAAGCCTGCTTCTTGAACGGCAGGAGCCAATACTTCCTTGCTGGTAAGAACTGGAGCCCAGGATTGTTGAGTAGCATAACGAACATCGTGGCTCATGCGGTTAACATCGCGAGCTTCGATAGTCCAATTAATAGAGTTCTTTGAAATCGTGTTTGCAAACTTCTTAGCCATTAAATTGTCATCGAAAGACTTAGTATGTGATTTAACCATAGAGAATTCACGACCTTCGTCTGTAACAGATTCAAGCGCAAAATAGGTAACACAATTTTGATCAATTGCAATATCTTGCTTAGTGCTGACAACCAACTCATGCTTTGCATTACAAGTGAAAGCAATTCTAGCAATATCAGCTTCTTCTTCAGGACTTGATTCCTTAATTTCGTACATGGTTTCATGACCACGAGGTAATGCAACGACATTTCTTGCTTCACCATCCTTACCAAGGACGCTTTCACCAATTTGGACATCTTCAATGTTCTTATTGGATCCATCGGCCATTAAAACTTCAGTTCCCTTAGCGAAACATCCTATGTAGACCATAAAATCAGAGTTGGAAAACTTAGAAATGGCTTGTGAAATGACAGTTTTACCACAACCGAAGGCACCAGGGATACAAGTGGTACCACCTTGAACACAAGGGAACAAGGAATCCAAGACTCTTTGACCAGTTAACAAAGGGTGATCAGCAGCCAATTTTTCAGCAACGGGTCTTGGGACTCTGACCGGCCAAGTATGCATCATAGAGTAGGAATGCTTCTTACCATCGAACTCAACTTCCAATACAGGGTCTTCAACAGTGTACGAGCCCTTTTCTGCGATGGAAGTGATTGTACCTCTTGCTCTTGGAGGTAATAAGATTTTATGGTCATCTAATAATGAGTTTTCGAAAATGGATCCAAAAATATCACCACCAGTTATATGATCACCAACTTTCAATTCACCAGGTGTGAAGTCGTATTGAGCAGTTCTCGATAATGCTGGGGCATCTATACCTCTTGGAATATAAATGGATTGTGACTTTTCTTTAATTGCTTTCAATGGTCTTTGAATCCCATCGTAAATGGTTTCCATCAAACCTGGACCTAACTCAACAGATAATGGTTTACCAGTTCTCAAGACAGGGTCACCGACAGTAACACCTGCAGTTTCTTCATAAACTTGAATAGTGGCCTTGTCTCCTGCAATACGAATAATTTCTCCGACTAAGTTATCGTGTCCAACCTTGACTAATTCGTACATAGCACATCCAATCATGTTTTCTGCAACGATAACCGGTCCTGCTACTGAGTAGATTTGGCCATACTGTGATTCTCCGGCGTCTAAAGAAAGACGATTCATCTCCTTACGAGCATTTTCTAAAGCACCAGCCTAGCATTGGTTAGTATTCTCCTTCAATAATCTGCATTTCTTAATCCCTAATTTTTTATTATAATTGATACCAATCATTCAATTGATATCAATTTCCTCATAATCTATACATACCATTCTGACAATCTATAATATACAGAAAATACGTTTAACTTCTATCGGATGTAAGAATATTAAGTCAGATTTCCTTTATCAGAATAGGGTTGATTATAATGGACGAATGCAAGGAAGGTAGTGTGAAAATCATAAAATTAATTATGTCCCGATTTTAACCAGACTATTTGAAGAAAGCATTTCAAGTACCTATAAATATATATCGATAGTTATGCTACATGCTGTCATATTCGCCTAGAGAATTTGTATTTAATGATATAATCTAAGAGAAAGAATCGAAGAATATGAACGAATATTGACACGAAAAATGGAAATTATATTTAGAATGCTACAACTTCGTGGAATTCAACTTCTTTGCTCTATCTAGGGCAATATCACACATAGCATTAAAGGAGTCTCTTCGTTCAAGAGAGATTTTGTTTCTATTAATTCTTTCTTTCATGTTTTGCATAATGTCAGACCTTGGTCTCCCGTTCACGAACACAACGTACCTCAATCCAGGAAATGTAGTTTCATATTGCTCATTGAGCTCAGTGAGCCTGCGAGCCTCTTCCTCGGAACCCTGTAGAGATTTTTGCTCTTCAGATGAATGTGTTGACAACTTTTCTGACTTATTTGGTGCAGATCGACCTAAACGTGGGTGAGCAGCGATAATCTTGGAAATATCTGGGTTTATGGCAGTACCCGAATTATACGCTTCCAGTTCTGCTAGGCCAAGAAACTGGGTCAATTCCTCTCTACAAGCTTCGATCATTTCTGGATAACTTGAATATGTACGATCCCCATTAAAGATTTTGGAAATAAGCAACGATGTCAACGTAGGACATGGCTCAAATAAATGATTAAAGACTTCTATGAGTTGGGAACGTGGAAGAGTAGATAACTGGTTTGCAGGTGGTAATATATAACTCATCAATGATTATTTATTTGTAGAAGTATAAAGTTGAAAAAATGTGTCGTCGAAAACAGATCTATAGATATTCATCATTTCTTATCAGCTCGGACTTCTCCGGTCAATAATTAATTTAGTAGAAATACTTAATTTTCAAGCGTAATTTATTAAAGAACTAATAAAAATTGAAGATATGCAATATATAATATATAATATATAATTTAGGAATTGGTGTACTATTCTATAACAGTGTAACCAATAAAATTAAAGTTGACAAATGTGAGCTGAACATGGTCTACGAGAAATGTTGAATTTGACGTAATTCTTTAGCTGATGGAGCACCCTTCTGCGCAATCAAAGGATGTCTCCAGTGCTTGACGTATGTGAACAAAACATTAGCCAATTGATCTAAATCTTCAATTCCTAAATCTTTGAAAGTTTTAGCAGTAGGGTCAATAGTTTGGTTGATTAAATGTCTTTCGATTTGATCTGGGTTTGTTAATCTCCAGTAAACAAATTGCTTAAGTTCAGCAACTAATTTAGCAAGTGGCAATGGAATTTGGTAATCAGCAAAACTGTAAGGTAAAGGACCAGCTTGAGCGAAATTTTGAGTGATACCGTGAATCATTTGTCTGATTTCGTGGTACGAGAATTTTTCAGGACCATATAATTCATAAGTTTGGCCAACAGTAGAATCATCAAAACCAATCTTTTCTAAACCTCTGGCAACATCCATAACATGGACTGGGTAAATTTCTTTGGCATTCTTATTTGGAGTCCACATCTTTAATTTTGGTCCCAAGTAGTTCAATAAGTTGTCTTCACGACCGTACATTTGACCAGGTCTAACAATTGTTGAATCTGGTAATATATCACGGACAACTTGTTCACCAATACCCTTTGTTGCATAGAAGACAGATTTGGATTCTGGGTTTGCGTTATACGAAGACACATGAACGAATCTTGGAACACCAGCATCCTTGACTGCTTGTGTAATTCTTTCGGTCAATCCAATGTTAACATCTGCCATGGAGAAGTTCTTGGTATTGTAGTCGACACCAATACAGTTATAGACAATGTCAGAATGAGCAACCGAATCTTGAATAGACTTCAAGTTTCTGGCATCAATCTCAACGAAGTTAACAACCCCTAAGTCTCCCGTGACCTTTAAAAATCTCTTTTTCATATCATCTCTGAATGGCACAACAGTAGTAGTTCCGTGTCTGGCCAATTTGGAGGTCAAATAACGACCCAAAAACCCAGAAGCTCCAAAAACAGTAGCCGTGTACCCAGTTCTAGATGAACGTCCACCTGGACCTACTGAAACATTAACTTTTCCATTTCTTGTAATATTAATGTCCGACTCCAAAACCGAAGTGTAGATAGATCTAGTTTGTCTACCCACTGGGCTTATTTGTTTAGCAGAAACTCTCAACATTATTTGTGTTTAATAGTTCTATTCTCAATAGATATATCTAGTATACAGTTGAATATATATCTATTAATGTTAACTGACTTAAGAAATATTCTACTCACTATATCATCAAAACTCATATTGATTATATTTGAAAATTAAAAGCTCTGGTTGGTTAAAATATGTTTTTGGTAGACGCACTATTTTGCATCAAAAAAGTGTATAGAGCCATATTTCATCAAGACCAGTATAACTATACTATAATCGTAGGCAGAGAACAATTCATAAAATAAACACTTTAGGAGAACAGCATTATGATTGATAACTAAGACTGTACGTAAATATATATATAAAAAAACGTTAATAGCTTTTAATAAGCCTGTAATAAGTACTAAATGTATACAATAACAAAGAAATTTTAAATAATGATAGTAATATAAGTAAAAAAAAGATGGCCGGAAGAAAATGAAAGCAAGGAAAAACAACAATTCGTCATTAATTAATCAGTCATAGAACAAAAGCATTAAAAAATACACAAAAGAACAATAAATCATAAGAAATAGTCGGGAGTCTTTCTTGTCACAGTTGGTTCGCCTGGTCTGACTGAAGGATCATATTGCAAGAATTGTCTGTTATGCTGTTCATCCACTTCCATAATGGCTGCCTGGTTACCACATCTATAACAGTAGTTAGGTGCAGAGAATATGGTGACCACAGCCTCTTGATGGGACCATGAGTAGCCTTCCATGACCAACTGGTGAGCTCTTGCAATCAAACTCAAGTCATTAGTGTGGTTGAATTGTTCTGAAATATCTTGACCAAAAGTGAATCCCGCACCTCTTGGAGAAATTCCCCATCCACCTCTATCGTCAGGATCGGACCACAACAAGTCACACATAGGACCTTCATGTGGAACTTCTTGGATTCTATTCAATTCCCTTACTTGATCGATGGTTTCGATCATTGGTGATAACCCTCCGTGCAAACAGAATACCTTATTATCAACCAATGCAGTAATAGGGAAGTAGTCGAATAAGTCGGTGAACAATTTCCAGACGGTTGCAGAACCGTATTTTCTTAGACATTCATCATAAAATCCATACACTTGAGTAATCTGTCTGGATTCGTGGTTACCTCTCAATATAGTAATTCTATTAGGGTACCTCACCTTCATACAAACTAAATATGAAACAGTTTCCACTGAGTAGTATCCTCTATCAACATAATCACCCATGAATAAATAGTTCGTGTCAGGACATGAGCCCCCGATCTTGAACAATTCCATCAAATCGTGAAATTGTCCATGAACATCCCCACATATAGTGACTGGGACTTGGACAGGCTGTACATTCTCTTCGAACTGTAAAACGTCCATGGCCATATCGCACAACCTTTTCACATCCCCCTCTGATAATGGCTCGCACGTAGATAATTTTTCAATCCATTCATCCAATTGATTAATGGACGATGTGTTCAAATCCTTGCTGTTAGCTGGCTGTGATTGCTGCTGGCCCTGGCCAGTGGTAGATTCTTCGAATCTTTGGTTTAAGTCTTGGTCATTGCTAACGTCCTCCATTGGAACATCAGTATCTAAATCCATAGTTTATGAATCTTATGAAGTAATATGATATGAAAAATAATTGCACTTAAAAGGTATGTATATCAGTAATGAATGGATACCCTTTCGTTCGAATTAGATGAATATGACCCAATTATAAATATGTATAACAAAATAATTAACAAAACAAAAAGGAATGGAAAATCAATGCCAGAATGCCACAACTCAATTCACTTGTTATAATCCTAATAACCAACAAGCCGTTTACTCAATTTTAATCGCCAATATACGTCAATCTGAACAATTTGATTTATAGGCGTTCTGAAATTTGATCTATATGTATTAGAATGACAAAAACAATTTATCGATTTTGACTTGTTTAATAAAATTAATCAATTGAATTTATAATTAAATTTATTACTCCCTAACAGATTTTAAATCTCTTAATCTAGTGTAATATGCTTTACAATTTAATTAAATTGTCCGTTAGTAAGTCAGTTACCTGGTAACTTATCCTTGTCTAAGTTCAGCAAAGATGAATTCAACCACCAATTTTGGATTTGACACGACAATTTTGAGTGACGAAATTTTTGAGACTTATGTCGCATATAAAGGGTTTAACGCGACATTCTAACTATCATACCTGAGGAATATGTGAATACGGTTGCAACTTTGTCTGTAGGTTTAGTTGGTTCCATGGTTTAATAAGTCTGTTTGTTCAAACACGGCAGATCTTTCGAGGACATTCTAAGGGTCTGTTTAATGTGAAAAACGTAAGAAGGTATCTCATACTACGCGTTGTCTACAATTGCTATATGCAAATTAGGACATTATTATATTAGATTCGTAGAAACAATGGATATTGCACACCATTCAAAGGTGTCATAAATGTGATCTAAGTAAAATTGTAACAAAAAAAAGTCTTAGCAAAAAAGATCATCTAAACTGCACAGTGTGGTTCTATAAAATATTCTATAATGTATTGATCGTCAAAGTAAAAAGTTTGGCTGAGATTTCATTTCTTCGTTACCCACAGACCAATCTGCTGTACGGGAAGCGGAGTTAAATTGAAACAAATTGCTCAAACTATTACTATTTTCGTTATTGTGGGAGAATTCGTCACCAAACTGGTGAAATGTGTTGCATAAGTTTTTGGCACTTTCAGATAATGATAGGGAAATCAATTCACTTAAATCTTCATTTCTACCGGTGGTTGCTGCAGCGGTTGTTACAACTGGCTTTGCTGGTAAGGACTGCAATGGATTGAGAAGCAGATGAAGACTGCTTGAACTGTTGAGTGTATTTCGGGTCTGATCATCTGGTCCGGTCATTAGAGTTACTGGAGCATTTGGAGCATTTTTTGCAGGACTATCAATCCCATTAGATGCGTTCGAATTGGATAAATCGAAATCTTCTAACAAATTCCTAGGGCTTGGGCAGTTGGTGATGAAGGTTGAATTTGGGTTCGTTGCTTCCGTTGAGTGAATCATTTTCGAGTCGAATTCATTCAAAATATCATTGAGTAAAAACTGGTCCTTTTCGCTGACATTGCCATCTTGCTTCATTTCATTTGAAAGTTTACTCAAATTATTGAACCAATTTCTTAAACCATCGTAGCATGAAATAAGGTCTCTAATGTTCTTGTTGCAAAATGGGAAGAGTTCAATCAAATTCTTTGTAAATTTCATGAGAACCATTTGATTTTCCTTTAAATGGTTTTCGTCAATTTCGATATTAAATTTCAATACTTGCATCAAATGCGGTAATAATTGATAATTACTGATTTGCAAATATAAATTGTTATCCTTAAAGTCTAAGAGATTATTCAAATTGATGACTGACTCGATTAATTCACACTTTAAATGCATAAAATTTAATTCATTGCAATGAATAATTATAATTTTGAATAAGATAATATACTTTAAAATTTCAAACATGAAATCCTCATTTGATAAGCTATTCAAAAATTGCTTGAATTGAATATAAGACGTATTGCCGATTGTTTTATTGTCATTGATTTTCTTAATGTTTTTGATATTTGAATTTTTATTGGTATTGAAGATGGAAAATTTGAATAGGTAATTGATTGATTTTGAATTAATCAAGTCTTCTTTATTGATGATTTTGAATATTTCAAATAGTGAATTACCATCAGATGATTTTTTGTGAAATTGAATATGACTGAAGTTATAATTATTCCATTCATTTAACAATACATTATTACTTTTAATAATAAAGTCTGACGACAAAAAAAAGTATAAACTCTCCATGGTAAATAAAGATTCGTACAATTCGTATAGTTGTACATCTGTGAGTTCTGCCGTACTTTTAAAGGGGAGATTAATTAACTGATAGAATGTAATTGACTTTCTTAGGTAGATTAACTTTTGCTGGTTCTGATTTTGAGTGTTCAAATAGTTTGTAATCTGGTGGAAGTTGCACAAGTGTAACGCAGATATCGACTGATTATAGTAAAGTTGTTGCGAAATATGCATTTGTTGCACAGTTGAGCAACCCGGAAAAAATGACAACTGTTCTATTGGCAACAGCACTTCGGTGATCTTCAACTGCAATAAACCCTTCAAAGACTTATACAGTTCGATATCTCCGTCCATAAACTGTGTTTCATAGCCAACAGACAGAAACTTGATTAAATTTTCAACTATCAATAAATTCAAAGTGAATATAATTAGCAACCTCGATAATATCATCAAGTCTGTCGATTGAATAACCAATTCACCGTTGGTGTTGGCAAATTGTGCCTGCACAAACTCGATTGACTTTTCATAACTAGTTAATAAAGAGTGCACTGTCAAGTTTTGCAAGCATTTATACATCACAGGGTCCTCTATTAAGCGTAATATGTTGACAAGGCGACTGGCCGTCAAAGTATTCCGATTTCGCCTCATATCTACACTTTCGTTGGTCAAGTTCTGGGGCACCGACTCCACGGGGTGATCTGCATGGTTAGCCGCAATCAACTCTTGGACTGTCGTCAATGTATTCGAGCTTGAAGTCGAGTGATGCGACAAAGATGGCCGTACAGCCATCTCAGGACCGTTTTTCTCCGAAAAACTGTTGATACTATCGAGTGTCTTTTTGTGAAGTGTTTTCGGTCCACTCTTCTTCCTTTCCCTCAATTGCGTACAGTTCAAATTATTACTAACACAGTGTGAACAAGGTCTATTCTGCTCACACTTCACTTTTCTTATTGCACACGCGTCACACGCTCTGTTGGTTGTTTTTCTCTTCTTTTTCGGTTTGGACGCCCCCTCTCCGACTCCGTTATGTCTAATCTCCGTTCCCATTCCATTCTCCTCGCTGTTCTTTCCTTCCGGACTTGAACTACTATTTCTCTGGTATGATAATCCTCTATCCATCTCAATAGTTCTATTGACAAAGTTGATCTCACTCATACTATAAATTCATTATTCGAGTTTCTCGCTTTTCACAACTCCAGACGAGCTATTGTTGTTTGATCCTTTTTTTTCCTAAGCGTAGGACAACCTAAACAGAATTTTAAAGCTTGTATTGTTAATTTTTAATCAATAAGAACAATCCTACTGGCGTTCTTGCTTCTATATTCTCTAAACTATGTAAGTAAATCGTTTACTATTCTATCCCTAGGATTACTATGAGTAAGAAAAGTTTTTCCTTAATCGACTCGTTATGCTCGCCCCGAATTACTCCACGATTACCTGCGTGGAGAAAAAATAGATTCCCAATGTAACGTTACATTGAATTTATTTTTCTGCGATAATTTTGTTGAGCTATAGCCATGTCTAGGAATACATTGTACTTTTTATCTAGCAAAGGGCCGATGTCGGCAATATGATGATCTGGATAAATAGTATCGTAGTCAGCGTCAGCTTGTATGCAACTATTTAATGCATTTTGGTAATTTTTGCATCCAGTTAGTAACTTGTGGCCTATGCTACTGATGATTGAAGACCCCTTCACGACATTGTACTTCACGTTTGTAGACAGCTTTAGTATTTTTACTTTTTTGCCAGTGATAGTAGCTAGTAAACGCATGAATCTTTTGTTGTTGCCCTGCGAGCCATTCACTGTGATGGAATTGACAAGGGGTCCGTTGGAGGAATGGATGATTTCCAATATCTGTCGAGTCTGGAAACAGAGAAACTCTAAGATAAGATTGTAGCGTATTACGAGACCCATTAATGTGATTCCGTTGGTAATTGAAGCCAAATTATCAGAGGAGTTGCAGCCATCTATTATCATTTCACTCATGGCAAAGTCGTTGTAGGGACTCCTGTTGCCGTACTGATCGATGTACCAAAAGTAACTTTTGATAAGTTTGGTGATGGAAGTGCCTTTAGTGGTTTCAAGGGCCGCCGTTTCATTTTCGAGAAATGCAAAGACATTTTCGGCATTCAAAGATGATATTACCAGTTCGTAGTTGGAAAAAAGTTGCTCAAACAATTTTCCAGTAGCTGGTTGACCAAACTCGAATAAATCCAACGGTAAAGATAGTAGCTGGGAAAATGGACCCCAAATTCCAGGAATTGTACTATATTTAGACGATGGAGTCGAAAGGATAAAACATGTAGACGTTCCTGCAATCATAGAAAGATGGTTTTCAACAGAAAACTCTGGTTCAATTGTAGATAGCCACCCGGCATAACAATCAATGCATCCGTTGGCTACAACTATCTTTTCTCCCATGCCATAAACATTCTTATGGATGTATCCCAAAGGTACACCTACGGGTAATAGACCAGACGTATTCAAGTTAAATTCAGATCTACCAATAGATATGCGAGAGTCGATGCCGATTTGTTTCAAAAATTCAATAGTCCAGCCTTTGATTGAGCCATCCATTGCTTCCGAGACTGTAGTATATTCTTGCATAGGTTCAATCGGATCAACCACATAGGGCACGAGTCCCTCTTCGTTGTAGCCTCCAACTAAGAACAAATAACTGAACCAATCATAAAGTTCAAAGCACACTATATCTTTGCTTTTTATATTATCTTGCAACCACCTTAACTTGGGTAATCCCATTTCTGGAATAAACTTTCCTCCTACCTTATATAAGTCTTTCTTATTTAAGTTTTCATTCAAGTAGCTGGTTTGTTCAATCGATCTATTATCCATCCATAGTATAATATCTTGTTGGTTGTCATCACCTTTGAAATTAACTGCACATGGCTTAAGATGCATCTTGCTGCCAATACTAACCCTTTCCATCACAACCATGGAACAAGTTGCTGTGAAAGATATTGATGTGACAGGTTCATTAACCAATTCTTGAAGTAATGTAAGTATACATTCATAGATCTCCCGTGATGATTGTGTTACATAATTAGAATATATATCATCCCTATTGGTTTTAATAGGCTTAAAAGCTGTCTTGAAAGCATCTGGTTTGCTTAGGCAGATTCTAACTGAACCTGTTCCTATGTCAACTCCAATTGTGGTCATGTCAATAAGAAATAAATCACTCTAGCTTAGTTTGTGAGCGGATCTGAAATTTTTGATTCGCATCCACATAATATATGGATAGTAAAATCACCTACAACCCTATCAAAAATCATAGAAATATTCAAGTATACTTAAGATTATACTACACAACTTTTTGAAAACAAGCATTTAAAACAATTAAAACAAGAAGTATACAAGCATTATACAATACAGCTATAGCAAGGTGTGATTTTTTCCTTTAGTCTAACCTTGAAGGATGGCCTTGGAACCGGATTGACTAGTCCATGACTTGACAGTGGAAGAGTCAAGAGAGCTTCCGAAGTCATCATCAACTTGAACAACATTAATTTCACCATTGCTGAAGATAACAGCAGCCTTCATAGAACCAGAAGTTGGTCTTTCGAAGTAGTCAGAAGAACCACCACCACCTTGGGCAGAACCATTGCTACCTTGACCATCATGTAAGTGACAGATTAATTCATCAGAGCCAGAAGTGATGACTTCGAATAAGTCTAATTCACCACAACCAGTTTTCCAACAAGAACATTTTTCGTTACCATATTGTAAGGTTCTTGGAATCTTGGCATTCAATAACCAGATAGCTGGCATATCATAGTTGTAAGAAGCAGAGTCAGTAGCGGTTGGCATTTCGAATTCGAAAACCATGATCTTGGTGTTACCATCGAACCCGTGGTAAGCTGGAATACCTTCTCTGTAGAAACCACAGTCGTCACCGTCACACTTAGAACCAGACATGATAACATATTCAACATTAGAGTCAATTGTGGTTTCATCTAAAGCGACAGACTCTGATGATCCACCAGAGGCATCGCTGTTAGCGTAAGACAAGGAGTTACCGAAAGAAGAAGACCAGACCCCAGAGCCAGAACCACCATAGTAGTTTAAGAAGGTGACGTTGTCAGCAGAACCTGGAGTATAGTAAGCAACCCTTTCCCAGTCACCAGCAGCGACAGAAGAATCAGAAGATGATTCAGAAGATGATTCAGAAGAAGAAGCACTCGAGGATGAAGAGGCAGAAGAGCCCTTCTTGGAACCGGAATCAGAGCCAGAACCAGAGCCACCGGTGGCAGCAGCAGATGCAGTAGAGGTTTGAGTGGTGTCTTGATCGTCATCGTTACCAGAACCGGCAGTGGCAGTGGTGGTGGCTAATGAGGTTTGGGTATTACCATTACCATCAACAATGACAGTTTGGGTGACTTCAACGACTTCAGTGGCTCTCTTATGCTTGTGGTGAACGTGTTTGGTGGTACATTCTTCTTCATCTTCTCTCTTTTTGTTGCTAGATCCTGAAGATGGGTAGTAGACACCAAACTGCAATAACTTCAAAGGACCTCTGAAGTGAGCAGATAATTCTTCATCTAATGGAGCCAACTTACCAGAGAAACTCTTAGATTCTTGACTACAAGATCCCGAGTCTTCGTCCATGGCAGTGACATCTTGGTATGAACCTGAGTATCCAACACCTTCGTATGAAACCTTCTTGGTGGAACCTGCTTGAACAGTGACTATAGCCGATAAAATGGCTAACAAAGCACTGGAACTAAATTTCATTTTTGATATATAATACTACTTTCGTATAGTTAAAGGAATGACTGGAGTTAGAATTTAGTATTGGGAATTTTTTATTTCAAGAATTCTTTTGTTTTTAAAACTTTTGTAACGAATAAGCCTTATATTAATATTGGATTTCACAAAGGGGGAGTATTGGTATCAAAGTTCTTGACGACCTACAATCACATCTAATTACAATCCTTGTCCTGGCTTGTTAAAACAGTGTTTACAGACATATATGCACTCTGTGCAATTTTTTCTCACCGCGCCTTACTGTGCATGCATAAAAGTAAATAGTCGGATTTAAATCAACTTATAATGTAATTATCACCTGATATTCATATTAAAAATTCCGGATCTCTTCACGTTTGGCGCGTATCAAGTGCATACGTGCTGGTTGTGACCTCTTCCATTCTCGGCATTTCCCAATTGGGATCAATTGTTTTAACAATGTTCCAAATTTGTTGAATGTACCAGTAGACATGGCTGATATACGGAGGCTGAAAACGTATCAAAGGCGGAATTCACCATGGATATCTACACATGGTTTAGCTTGCTTTCAAAATCCAAAAATTATCGATAGATGGTTTCTGGTGGGCCAAGTATCCCTTGTTGAAATGGCGTGATTAGAATCAGTTGAGTGCTAGAGAAACTGGCAGATTCAAATTAAAAATGCGCCTAAAGAAGCAATAATTCACGATTCGCGTTTGAAGCTTTGCAACCGATGTTATTAGTGCCAAGGGCCACCCCAAGGCATTGCGGCTAATTCAGATGTCGTGAGAACCGGATTGTAGCTGAAACCAACCTCGGAAAATGTTTTTGTTTATGTAAGCATATGACAATACCTGGCTGGGCCTGGGCCTGTTTCGGCTAAATTAGCGAAGTGCATCTATAGTGGATGCAGTACCGAGAGCGCTTACGAGGAGAAAAGTTTGTATGATTACCGTTAGAAGAGTATTACGTGCATAACGGCGATCGAACTTTATTGATCTGGACCTGCTCCAACGTATTTAACCTGGTACCGCATGATATATGAACAAATCGCATTCAAAAGAAGTAGTAAGATGCAGTTGTTTCGATGATGCAACGGTAACAAAAGAGGTCAAGATGCACCAAGCGATCAATGCAAGAACGGGAAGAGAAGACATACGAAACCAAAACGACTATACCTGATAGAGATGTATTCTGAGAGAATGCACATACAAGTATAGAAATAAATATGGCATGAACCAGAACCTGTGAGAAGTGACGATGACAGTGTGAAGTTTCAGCACAGGTCGCAAAATAGATGGCATTTCAAGATCAAGTGTTCAGGTGGAGAGTAAACGGCTTCGCCATTACTCTAACATATATTGTACTAGTTCAGTTAACCCAAGAATCTAGATGGAAAATGCGGTTTTGCTGCCCCGATCGAACGTTATGCATTACCGTTAGAATATGTATATGCAATACTCCAGAGGTCATTATGTTTTATCATTCGACTAGATCATCCATCGTACAGTATATGTAGTTATCTACCAATCTCTGGCTTGTATCTATCCGTAAATGACTTGTGCTACGTAAAAATGAAACCATTTCTGAAAATTTTTCAAAATTTTGCAAAATTTTGCAACAATAGTGTATTCTAGACGTGAAGTTGTCGGAATTCAATCATGTACAATAATTGTTAGCTACGATCTAGACTCAAGTAGTACTTTACAGAGGTATCATCTACTTTTTGAGCGTACTATATCTACTCTAGGATACCTGCCCTCCCAAAGCTCTTTCAGATGAAACTAAGATGAGATTATCCGAGAATACACCCAAACACCCACATGGATCTCGGAACGGAAATAATCACCATTACACCCATACTTAATGAATTCAGCCCACTCCGATTACATAATATAGATAAACACAACACTCTATTTATACCTAGAATGCTATTATGACAAACAAACAACTATGAAAACTTTGTTTGAAGGTTTGTTTTCACGAAGAGTATTTCTACATAGTTAGGTATGTCCAAACGATTTTCAGTACTGAACAAGCCTGTGGAGGCAGAGGAAACATTCAATCCATATGATAATGTCAAAAGAAAATCCCAGATTGAGAAGCAGAAGAAAGAATTCAACCAACGATACAACTCACCAAGAATTATAATTAAAGATGATCCCGTGATACCTAATTACCCTCTCGTAGACGGCTTTAAGAAGCATGCGAATTATAATATGAAAATCGTGGTCGTGGGTGATGGTGGTTGTGGAAAGACATGCTTGCTTGTATCATACGTTCAACAAAAGTTTCCCGAGATATATGTACCAACAGTATTCGAAAATTATGTCGCTCATATCTCGACTCCCACTAATAAGATTATAGAATTGGCACTTTGGGATACAGCGGGACAAGAAGAATATGACAGATTAAGGCCATTGTCGTATCCAGACGTTGATGTGTTGTTGATTTGTTTTTCTTTGGATAATTTGACATCTTTGCAAAATGTCAAGGATAACTGGTTTCCCGAAGTATCGCATTTTTGTCCTGGAATCCCAATAGTGTTAGTTGGAACCAAAGCAGATTTGCCAACTTCCATAGATCCTGATTTACCCATTCAATTGGCTACGGAAATAAATGCCGTAGGGTATATCCAGTGTTCAGCCAAGACGATGTTTAACATCAAAGCTGTATTTAACTTTGCATTGAATCATTTCCAGAAGCAGATGGAGTATCATGAACAAGTAGAGAAATCACAGAAGAACAGACTATCGAAAGCCTTTGGCCACTCCAGAAGTCAATCAGGAAACTCATACAAAAAGCACCACTACAAAAACTCGTCATTAGACTCAGCAATGTTATTGGATGGACCTTTAACGGAAGATAATTTTACCGAAAACCCGTATGGAAACTTTGGTAATGAAAACAAATATAATGAAGATGAATTTGCATTTACCAGGACGCTGAAAAAGAAGAAGAGAAAGTGTATTATTTTGTAATTTACCTAGTTATTTATTGTCATAACATATTTTAGAAGAACCGTTCTACTGTAAGTAATCCTTTAAACCTACAAACGAATATATTATTAGAATAGGAGCAATGAAAAATTACAATACGCTTCGCGCTATGTTCTTGAAAATAATCTCGTTAAATATTCTGTTATCATAATACTGATTAGATTCTGCAATAGATTACTATGTCGTCGATACATGACAACGTAGGACCAACCAAAAGAAACACAACATCAACGTCTACGTCAATTAATCCAAATATAACAGAAAATGAATTAAATACAGTACAATCTAATCATTTGCACGATGCTGGGAATAAATCGAACGATCATTATAAGTCAAAATTATCACCATTACGTTACAAATTAAGGACATTATGTTTGCCAATTATAAGGAAGGAAACTGATATATTGGCCAATATGCAAAAGAAAATTAGGCACCCCCTTTTAGACTTCTATTTTGCATGGACAGCCAATCTAGCATCACATACATTTTACGTCTTAATGTTACCATTGCCAATCTGGTTTGGTGCCAGTACATTGTCAAGAGATTTAATATCAGTATTGGGACTCGGTATATTTGTAAGTGGTAATTTGAAGGATCTCTTATGCTTACCTAGGCCGAGGTCCCCACCACTTCATAGAATTACGATGTCATCATATACAACTCAAGAGTATGGATTTCCGTCAAGCCATAGTGCCAATGCTACAGCAGTTACATTGGTTTTACTTGCGAAGCTTTATGAGGTTCAAGACACTCTCGAGCCGTTGACAAAAATTGGTATCTTTTGCTTTTTGATTATATATTACTTTTCGCTTATATTCGGTAGACTTTATTGTGGTATGCATGGGTTCTTCGATGTGTTTACTGGATCAGTTATCGGTATCGTTTTGTTTTTGTTTAGATTTTTTGTTGGTAAACAATGGGATCAATGGTTACTAGCTAGCCATAATGATTCTATATTAGGATTGGTCCTTACTCCATTATCCATTATAGCAGGATATTTACTCTTAATACACTTTCATGTTGAGCCCGTTGATGACTGCCCATGCTTTGATGATTCTGTTGCATTTATTGGTGTTTTGATAGGAGTTGACATATCTCACTGGTTATTGAGTATCACCAACTATTTGACGTATAAGAACCCATTTGAAGATCCAATACTTGTAAGATTCGATTTTGACGAATTTGGTGTTCTCAAGTCGACTATTAGGGTCATTATGGGTGTGACGTTTGTTGTTATTTGGAAGACAATTTCAAAGCCAGTAATCTTTACAGTTTTACCTCCTATTTATAAGATCATTGGTGTTTATTTACCTAGAAAAAACTATCAGCCTACAGCATTTTCGAAAAAACCACTAGACAGATCAGATCGCAATCTTTATCGAACATGGAGGGAACACAATCAATTGGTGATTTTAATACTTTTATTAAAGGTGTCACTGATCATAACCAGAAGGACGAAGTTGGCCCAGAGAATGACATTGATTATTATGAGATGCTAGAATATGAAAAGAAATCTGGAGTGGAAAAGCCATCAAATAATATCCACCCACTAAGCGGTGTTTTCAAGCCAAGATATGATGTGGAAATTGTAGGTAGATTAATCATCTATGCTGGTGTTTCTACAACTGCAATTTGGGGTTTTGCGTTTGGTACCGAATTTTTCGGAATTAACTAACTCTGTTACGTATTTATGTACTTATGTATTTAAATTACTTGTATACTAACATTCCTTACGTGTCGTAAAATTATCTGGGGAAGTCGCAGAGGTACAATTTTTTTTTGGATTCTTACAACCCATACTAAGTAAGCATAGAGATACAACATAATGTACAATTCCAATGGATGGCTCATACAATAATGATCATCGGGTTCATAATCATTTAGACACACTTGATAATTCTAATACAGTAAATGCTATTTATGCCCAAATAAATCAATTTAATTCCCATTTTACTGATTATCAGATACGTAACAATAAAAAAATTGAATCCATTAATCGAAAGGTAGATTTCCAATTCAATGCTATCAATGAAAAATTGAAAGGCATATCAAGACAAGTGAATGACATAGGCAGAACGATTACGCTGTATACCACAGATGGCATTCAAAGAAGCGATGAAAAAGTATTGGAAATATTCAACAAGCACATCAATAAATTAAGTAATGATATCCAAGAACTTAGCTCATCTCTATATACGGGTAATAATAATTCAAGGGGGCAATTATCGTCAGGCAAGAACATCGTTTCGGTGGATAATGGTCACGTACAGAATAGGGATGGGGGCCAGAGAAACAATAGTCACGAAACATCCCCAGAGGTTATGGCGGTAGATATGGATATAGATAACAGAAATAGATCGTGGCCGAAATCGTTGAGCCTTAGGTCACCTGCACCTCAACCTAATTCTGCCCCGTCATCGCCTATTGCAAACAGATATTTTGATTTTGGGTCTACACTAGAAAGGAATTCGATGATCAGAAATGATATTAATTATGCAAATGAGAGTGGCATTAATACAATTGAAAATCACACGGAGGTTGGATTGGAGAATGTGCAGCGCATGGATACCGATACAAAGGGATGTAAATACAAGAAATCAAAATCTAATGTTCAAGAAATTGGCCTCGGCAATTCTCAACAATATATATATTCATCAGTGAGCTCACGTCCAAACGGTTTTCAAGGAACCAAAGAATTTCTTTCGAATGCAAAACGGCTTAGTCCTAATAATAATATGGAAAACCTCACGCCAGGTTTAATGGACGGACAAAATGCTAAGCTGTCTGAATATAATGATTTTGATAACCTCAACGAAATAAATGTACCGAATCGTGCTTCAATAATGTCGAATCAGAGTCGAACCCTGGAGATTGGTCCAGAAATCGAGGTAGTCCCAAATTCGTTCGGACAGGCGCCGAAAGCAACTTCGGAAAAAAGAGACGTCATAACATTGAGCCCAGTGAAAAAAAGACTGAGTCTGAAAACTAAAGGAGACTCAACTAAACAAGCAAAGAATAATATTCCTGGTGTGAGCCTATTGAAGGGTAGGAAACCTTCAACTACACCTCAGTATAAATTGGAGAAGAGTTTGCGGAATGTTTTCGAAATATGGAAAGAATATGAATATGGAATTAATGGGAAGCCTCCATTGAAACAACTAGAAGCACAATATAGCACTAAATGGAGGAATGAAACAGAACTGAGAACGTTCTTGAGGCGTAAGAAAATTTATGATGCAATTGAGAGGGGTAAAAAAGCCGGCTACACTGAAAGGCAAGTTATAGACGAGTTGGAGCTTTTGAGAACTTACGATATGCATGGGAATATGAAAAAGAAGCCATTGCTGTGGCTATATTCTAATATACCTCGAAAATTTAGCTAAAAGGTTGCAGCCAATAAGTGTATACGAAAGTCAGCTTATGCGCATCAAATCGAAAAAAAAAAAAACTGGCTCATCTTGATAAGGTGTTTAGAAATAAAGTGTAAATACAGTTAGTGAATCTATAGTATAATGGCACCCACAGCGTCCACCGAAATCAAAAAGAGGCCTATTTCACCTACAGATGTAGAAGGCGAAAGCAAAAAACCTAATATTCAAAGTGAACCAAGCAAGTCCCAACCTAAACAAAGGAAGACTAAAGTTGTGAGAAGAAAATACAAGGCGAAGGATGTGGATGCTACATCGCCACTTGGTATATTACAGCATGAGATTAAGGAGTTCTTAGTGGAGTACGGACTTGAAGAAAATCAAATATCAAATGATATGCCATCAATTTTGAATGATCCACCTACTGAAGCAAAGTTCCACAGGAATGTGAGTGATGTCGAGGTGATTAAATTATCATCCAATGGGGACGGTTTAGCCATCATTCCACATCCAATCAAGGAGGATGGTAAGCAGATATGCTTGGTGCCGTTTGGATTGCCAGGTGATAAAGTGGATATCAGAGTATTTAAGTCACATCCATTATATGTCGAGTCTGATTTGCTTAAGGTAAATAAAGGATCCAAACATAGAGATGATTCGTTAATAAGATGCCGTTACTTTGGTAAATGTTCTGGATGTCAGTATCAAAGTGTGGATTATAACCAGCAATTGGTCTTTAAAAAGCAGACAATTGAAAATGCGTACAAATATATGGCACCAATTTTGTCCAAAACTGACAACGGATTACCTCCAGTGAAAGATACAGAAGCATCACCACTTCAATATGGATATAGAACGAAATTAACCCCGCATTTCAACTTACCCTACACTAAACCAAAAGAATACCCACCTCCTAGTTTAGGATTTGGGGCTAAAGGTAGACCTACATGGAGACCTGAAGCCGAGGGTGGAGAATTTTCCATTTTGGATATTGAAGAGTGTACAATTGGTACCGAAATTATTAACAAGGGAATGACGAATGAAAGAAGTAGATACTTGCAAGAATATATGAAATATAAGAAAGGAGCCACTATTTTATTGAGAGAAGATACCAATAAGATCACCGAAGAAGAGCCAACAGAGCAGAAGTCTGCATCTACTGATCCAGAAGGCTCCGTGTCTGCAGTGACCGTAGAACTTGATAATGGTGACAAATTACGCAAAACATGTGTTACTAGTTCCAGGCAGATTGTTACGGAATACGTAAACGGGTTTCAGTTCCAATTTTCGGCTGGGGAGTTTTTCCAAAATAACAACTCGATCTTGCCAATCGTGACCGATTATGTCAAGTCCAACTTACAAATACCGAACTCAAAGGCCAACGAACCAAATTATTTGGTAGATGCATACTGTGGATCGGGACTCTTTTCGATTACATGCTCACAAGGTGTTTCTCGTGTTATTGGTGTCGAAGTCAGTGCTGACTCTGTCAAGTTTGCCGAGTTGAATGCCAAAAATAACCATATCGAAAATGCTACATTCATTGTAGGAAAGGCCGAAAAGATCTTTGGCAATATTGACACTCCTGCTGACAGAACCGCAGTCATCTTGGATCCCCCAAGAAAAGGTTGTGATGACGTATTTTTGAACCAGTTGTCAGAGTACCATCCAGCCAGAATCGTGTACATTAGCTGTAATGTCCACTCACAGGCCAGGGATGTCGACTGGTTCATCAATAAGACTAAAAATGGCCAAAACTACTTTGTGGAGAGCATTAAGGGCTTTGACTTCTTCCCACAGACTCACCACGTCGAGAGTATTGCGGTGTTGGCTTTGAAGAACTAGCTGATCACCAAAAAGTCTCTCCATAGGTTCGCAATTACATAAAAAGCAATGCATAATTATCAACTACTTTTTCCTCGTAGACCCTATTATACATAAACAGTCTTACCTCTGCCTCAATTTGCAGCATCTACAAAATCTTACACAACGCATATATTGTCGTCCGTATTCTATCTAATTGGCCTGGACCATACTTCAACACAGTTCCAGAAACGAACTCTTTCAAAAGAGTCTATTTCGTTATTTCGCCTGCTCTTCAACATAACCCATAATGACCCATAATGGAACTACAAGCCAGTATCTACTGTTGGCATATTAGGGCTTTAAGCCCTAGTATCATCCAGTACGAAATTGAAGACTTTTGTGTAACATTTGTCTTGACGTGTTTCCACCAAAAAAAATTTCCGTCTCGTGCCCGGATGAAGCCTCATACCGACTTTGTTAGTGGTTGGGGACGGTATTGGCCTTGTGCTTAGAGTGAAAATTTTTAGAATATTGATAAATATCTACTATCAAAGGAATAGCTTATATCCATAAATACACCAGTCACAATGGAAAACGATAAAGGTCAATTAGTAAGTAAAGATTAGTGCTAGATAGCCTCAGATGTCAATAGTTGAAACAGTGTAATCGGAGAACAGAGAATTATGAATGACTGAACGAATGAAATAGCGAAGATATTAAGTACAGAGTCCCATAGTCTCAACAATGAGAGGACATAAGATGAATCACATACACAAGAACGTAGAAGTTTCGTATGAAGCGAACGAAGTTAAAAAATGCAATAAGTAGGGGACGAAGGATTCTAGGTGAAAAATTATGCGAATTGGACATAAATCGATTTGAGAAGAGCCTAACAAAGAAAATATGATGTTTGGATGAATACGAACCGATGAAACACAGAGATGGTCAACTATGACAGAGGAAGACGAGCCGAAGACAAATACTAACAATTTTAGGTTGAATTATACGTCCCAAGAAAATGTTCTGCCACCAACAGAATCATTAAGGCCAAGGACCACGCTTCTGTTCAAATCAACATCGCTAACGTCGATGAAGAAGGTAGAGCTATCCCAGGTGACAACTCCACCTACGCTTTATGTGGTTACATCAGAGGTAGAGGTGAAGCTGATGACTCTTTAAACAGATTAGCTCAACAAGACGGTTTATTGAAAAACGTCTGGAGTTACTCCCGTTAAGTTTCGGTATATTACGTGCATGGTTTAACTTAAATTAATAGTTTGATTATATATTTTTTGTCTTATGTGTGTGTATATCTAATTTAATGTCATAAAAGGTTTTATAGTGGACGGACTTGTAAGGTGTGCATAGCACGAATTGGAGGATTCTTAATGACCACCATACCAAAATAACTAATGGCGGTTATACTCTTTATCCTAATAGACTTTTTAGCATTGAATTGTGTGGTGAATAGCATCTTTAGCATTTAGACTTAATCTTTGACAAGAAAATAGAATATCGTGGTTTCTTTTTGTTGCATTTAGTGAAAAATTCCATTTTTAACAACCACTTTACTCCACAGTAGCACTTAATAGCGATGGCTCAGGGGATATTCACTCTTTTATATAACGAGAGCTATTTGGCAGGGGCACTTGTTCTAGGCATTGAAATTCGTAAGATCCTCGAACGCCAACCCGAAACGGATATTTCTTTAGGGGTCATTATCGATAAAGAACGGATAAACGAGTACCAGGTGTCGCTTTTGCAGAATTTCTACGATGACATAATTGAAGTGAAGCAATTGGCGTCGGAATTGGATGATATTTTGACTAATGACTTAGGCAGACCCGAATTGAAGCAGACATTTACTAAAATTCAACTTTGGTCGTTGACTAGGTACGACAAGATCTTGTACTTGGATGCGGACACATTGCCTAATGTCCCCAAGGACAAATCCCAGGGGTCAATTCTCGATTTATTGAAGTTAGAATTTCCCGCAAATAAGATCCTAGCAGCTCCTGATAGTGGGTTTCCTGATATTTTCAATTCTGGGGTTATGTTGTTGAAGCCCAACAAGTCCGACTATACTAATCTATTGAATTTAATAGAGGAGTCGAAAACTAATCGCAAGGTATCGTTCGATGGGGCAGATCAGGGTCTTCTAAATCAATATTTCAACCTGCAACCAGATTGGGTTCAAGATTTAGTATCTTCACATCAGATTGATGTTGCGGTTGTTAATAATGCCAAATCTTCGAATTGGATTCCATTGCCATTTTTATATAATGTCACTCCGTCTACAGAGTACGAGTATTTGCCCGCCTACAAGCATTTTGCTGCCAAGGGGTGGTTAAGTACTACGTACGGCAGTCTGGGCACAGAGTATTCTAAGTTATTGCCCTATTTCAATGGTGCAAATTCCCAGATAAAATTAGTTCATTTTATTGGACCCGTGAAGCCATGGAAAGCCGAGTTGCCTATTGGAATTTATGGTCAATGGTGGGACGTATGGCGTGGATATTTCGGAAATGTTACGGTTGAAGAAGTTGTCTACCATGGAGGTGGCGACTTAGGAGGGGAGTATAGTACGGGCGAAGGAACTTACCACGACGATTGCAATTTAGCATCTGAATCCAGTACGAATGAAGAACGCGAAAAGAAGATTGCAAAAGCTCTGACTCTGGAATCGCAACAGAACGATCAGTTTGTCCCTTCATATCTCTGCGATCCGTCAAACTACCAGCACATTCCCAGCAACATTGCCTCTAGTGCCGATGCTTCTTGGGACCCTGCAAAAGAACCACCTCCTGCTGCGCAGACCATCAAGAACGAGACCGTTGAATTAGAGAGAGGAATGAGGTCGTTCACAAATGCATGGGATTCGACTGACCATGACGAAGGCTTGCGTTCTGAAGGCACCCAATCTATTGCTGAGAATCAACAGCCTTCGGCTGAACTTCCAACAATCGAACCCACCCAAAAATCCACAAACGAGCATCCTACAAACGAGCACCAACAAGATGACCCACAAGCAAAGCCCTTTGGCTATCATGTGTCCCAGAAACCAGAACGTGTATTTGCGGACGAAAACCTTGTTCTTGCCCATGCATACATGCCTCGAACCACATCTAACGACCCAGATCTCATTTCTTCCCCAGAACACCCCGTTCCTGGTCAATTGGAGCACGATGAAATATACAAATCGCTTGCGAACCTACAACTACAACTAGACCAAGAAAACCTGGCCAACCGGGAACAAAACCTGATTCAACCAGAACACGAGGATAAACAAGAAAACCCACTTCCAGAAGTCAACCCCATTACAAAATTGTTTCCCTGGGAGTTCAAAGAAACAAAATACGCCCCAGAAAGAAGCTTTGACTAATTGTTTAGCATTTTATCTAGAAAATCAAATAGTTATACACGATTTCATTATATTTAGCACCCACTAGACCATATAGTAGAAGGTACTAATAGTATCTTGTGACTGTGTTACCCGGACAAAAAATTTACAAAGAATTTTTTTTTTTTTTCATTGGGCTCATTGAAATGGCAAAATTCAAATAGCAGATCCCTTGAACGTAAAAAAAAGTACAGTATTTATATAACTACGTACGAATTAGTAAATTTATTAACATATAATTCGAATACTACAACATGGCTTCCGAAGGTATTACTGAAATTGACTCTGGTTTGATCGAAACCAATTACGACAACGTTGTCTACACATTCGATGATTTAAACTTGAAACCAAATATTGTTAGAGGTATTTTCGGTTACGGTTACGAATCGCCATCGGCTATTCAACAAAGAGCTATCTTACCTATTACTGAAGGACGTGATGTGTTAGCTCAAGCTCAATCTGGTACTGGTAAGACCGCCACTTTCACCATTTCCGCATTACAAAGAATTGATGAAAATGAAAAGTCCACCCAAGCATTAATCTTGGCCCCAACTAGAGAATTAGCCTTGCAAATTCAAAATGTTATTACCCACATTGGTTTATACTTGAACGTCACCGTGCACGCCTCCATTGGTGGTACCTCAATGAAGGACGATATTGAAGCTTTCAAGTCCGGTGTTCAAATTGTTGTTGGTACTCCAGGTAGAGTTTTCGACATGATCGAACGTCGTTTCTTCAAGACTGACAAGGTCAAGATGTTCATTTTGGATGAAGCCGATGAAATGTTGTCATCTGGTTTCAAGGAACAAATCTACAACATTTTCAGATTATTACCAGAAACCACCCAAGTTGTGTTATTATCTGCTACCATGCCACAAGACGTATTAGAAGTCACCACCAAGTTCATGAACAACCCAGTCCGTATTTTAGTCAAGAAGGATGAATTAACTTTAGAAGGTATTAAGCAATTCTACATTAACGTTGAACAAGAAGACTACAAGTTCGACTGTTTATGTGATTTATACGATTCCATCTCTGTTACCCAAGCTGTTATCTTCTGTAACACCAGATCTAAGGTCGAATTCTTAACCACTAAGTTGAAGGCTGAAAACTTTACCGTTTCTGCTATCCACGCCGATTTACCACAAGCTGAAAGAGACACTATTATGAACGAATTCAGATCCGGTTCTTCTCGTATCTTGATCTCTACTGATTTATTAGCTAGAGGTATCGATGTCCAACAAGTCTCCTTAGTTATCAACTACGATTTACCAGCCAACAAAGAAAACTACATCCACAGAATTGGTAGAGGTGGTCGTTTCGGTAGAAAGGGTGTTGCCATTAACTTCGTCACCGACCAAGATGTTGGTATGATGAGAGAAATCGAAAAGTTCTACTCTACTCAAATTGAAGAAATGCCTGCTGATATTGGTGCTTTATTCAACTAATTTTAGATATGGTATTAATTTTCTAACCTTATATAAAATTTAATATTATGTTTCTTCGAAATCTTCTGTATTATGCATAATAGTTCTCAAATGATTTGTTTCGTTTTTCTATCTAGATCATGTTTTTGTAAAATTAACAACTATCAGTACCTTCGCAGGGAAATAATAGACGCACAAGTTCCCTAATATCAAAAATAAAAATAGTCTTTTTTATATTCTGACTATAGACGTAATATGAAATAGATATCAGGATATCTAATAGTAATTATCAACTGAACTGTAAATATCTTTAATGAGTGAGAATTACAGACCCACAATCCCGGGATTATTTCCTAATGACTTATCAGTAGCACCAGGGACAGAATCACGAATAAATACGAAAGCTGTGGCCACTAATATAATAGATGAAGAAAATAATTCCAAGTTTAGGAACAAACAATTTATAGTTCAAAAAACTAGGCATCAACAAAATTTGATAGCACAACTTGATACTTTGGTTTACTTACTAGTAGGGTACCAATTTATTAAATATTGCCATTCAGCATGCATTCTACCAGTATTACTTCATATAATAGTACAGAAGATTTTAAGTTGCAGTTCCATTACCGGTGACCCTAATAGTGGTGGAATTCATGTAATCAATGAGGCCGTTACAGATTTTATTAATAGAAGAAGACAAAATAATGCACCCAATGATCCTTCCAGAGATGATCTAATTAATACAATATTTATAAAAGCATGTTCAATAGTATACTGGAAAGCTATTGTAACATGTGCGTACCATATATTATTTGTATGTACATGGATGGTGCTGATAGTGAATGATGATAAGCTAAAAATGTTAGAAAATGGGACATGGTGGTTTATTTCTTTTATAGGGGAGTCGACTCCTGAAGATATTACAAACGAGACTAATTACTGGTATAAGTTATTTCAATTGGGACTACCGGGGCTATTGGTATCCGACATAATCATACTATTTATTCAATTGGTACTTTTACAATGTATATATAAACAATCAACAGTCTCACCAATAGGTAGGTCATTGAATGAAGACGAGATTAATCTTATAAGACAAGCTGGTGACTTTTCTTCAATTCCAGATAGAGCAAAAATTTTTGGAGGTTCCGTTCCATGGATACTACTGATTAAACTTTATGAATTGTTCGAAAGGAAGTCATTTACGGAGTTTTAATCTCTAGCGATTACTATATAGTAAATCATAATATAACTAAGTATACTACGAAGTACATATATGTTTTTATCACGTGTATTAATGAATATAAAGCGATTCATGCTTATTCTACTAGTAGGGCAAGATGCATCGTTCTATAGCACGATTGGTACGATTGGACATCTATGTACCGAGGCGACAGTTTTATCGAAATAAATCGTACTATCTAAGCGAGAAATGGTTGAAAGAACCGTTTGATATTGGGTATCCAGAAAGTTCATCGCACATTAAAGAAGATTCCAAATTATTACGACAGAAGCTCTTTCCAACCAAAACTCTTACAGAGTATGATTACTTCAAGCAAGACTCGAATCGTGAGTTTAGAATAGAAGAATGGAATCAATTAGATACTGATCAAATGTTTAAGTATCAAGAAATGGTGGACGATGCTAAACCTCAATATGTGCATCCGAAGCCTCAATATGTTACAGGATTCGAATTATTCAAAATTGAACTGCAGTTTAACAGAAATGAAAAGAAATATTGGGCAATGCTAGACGGTAATGACAGGGAAGCATATAACGACAGCGAAATCGTTAGACATTTATATAATGAAAGAATAAGAATATGGATGGGCTACGAAATCGTTGAATATCTTAAGAGAAACCTGCCTAAATACATGTTCAACCCGTATCCTTTACTGGGTCTTTACCCTTGGGAGATAATAAAGGATAAGCTATATTTTAAAAGAGATGTCTATGATTTTGAAAAGGACTACTACGATACGTTGATAAAGGAAACGTTCGGTAGAAATTCGCAAAGAAAAGCATTGCAGATATATTACACCGATATACTGCACGATACAGAAACCGACAATTTGTATTATGCAAAGGTTGAAAAGATGTTCAACAGCTTGCCACCCTACAAGAAGCAATATTACGTAGAAAAAGAGCGAAAGAGACAAGAACACGCAAAGAAGACCAGGTTGCGGTCCTATAAGCAAAAAACTCCGTATCTGAAGTTCCTCATTCAATTCAGTAAAACATACAATCCAACATACGAGGAGCTAAACGCTTTTGATGCAAATGTATCTGACAACAATATTCGGAAACTAGCTATAAGCAAAGCAGCAGGCAGAGAATGGAAAAATCTTACGGAAGAACAGAAAAAACAATATGAGAGCGATGGAACACTATCATCAAATACAAGATTATACAAGGAGATGATTCTCGATTGGAAAGTAGAAATGGTCATGGATTATATTTATGAGGTGGGAGGTGTAAGCGGGTTACAATCATCACACAACTGGAGAAAAGATATGCATGAAAAGACAAGCGGTTATAGATACTTGAAAAAGATGTATGTGGATAAGCTAGTCTATCTACAGAATGGTAATGTAGTGGTTTCTAAGGATTAGTATGTAAATAGTTAATAATTTTGCAATTGAAGACCCGAACACAAAAACGCGGGACATTTTATATCTTCGACGCGTAGGTGGTATTTAAAGATACCAACTTTCAAAGAATTACTATTCTTATTAACAATTAAACAAGATACGATGACCGAAGCAGAACAAATAATCAAGAAGCAAAGAACTGAAGAATCAGAGCAAAGCTTAAGGGTCTTTTTACGTTCAGAAAATGCTACTTTACCTACTAGAGGTTCAGTCTTATCTGCTGGATATGACATTTACGCATCCGAAGAAGCTGTTGTCCCGGCACAAGGTCAAGGTTTAGTTGGCACTGATATAAGCGTTGCAGTTCCTATTGGAACTTACGGAAGAGTTGCTCCAAGATCTGGGTTAGCTGTTAAGCACGGTATTTCTACTGGTGCTGGTGTTATAGATGCTGACTACCGTGGTGAAGTCAAGGTTGTTCTTTTCAATCATTCACAAAAAGATTTTCAAATCCAGAAGGGAGATAGAATTGCTCAATTGGTATTGGAAAGAATCGTGATGGCTGATATTAAGCAAATAACTGCTGAAGAATTGGATACTACCGCTAGAGGTGAAGGTGGGTTTGGATCTACTGGTAAAAATTAGAATGTAACACATCTTATAAATATAGATATAACTTTATACAAATGAAAATAAAAGGAATAATATGTAATATTATCTAAGTGAAATTTTTTATTTAGACAAATGATTAACTGATTAATTAAAAAACTCACGAAATAAATAAAATGAAAAGGTAGTATCATGATTCATATCTCTTAAAAATCTCGTTAGGTTGAAGGATAGTATTAACCTTTATTATTCAGCCAATCTAGTTCTTTTTAGTTGAGGTTTCATTGCCAGTTGGATTTTCAGATTCTTCCTCTTTTTTCTGTTCTTCAATTTTTTCTACATTCTTTCTTTCAGACTCAGTTTCTTCATTATCAATCTTCATACCCTCAGTAGCAGTATCTTCGTATTCATCCAAATTGATATTATCCTTGACTTTATTTACAGTATCCTTTTCTCTTAAGTTTTCTTCGTTAATTAACTCATCTTGTTCCTTCAAGATGTTCAACTTCAACTTCGAGTCGTCAGATAATTCCAATTTAGCGACATTGTAAACTTCATCTGGGATGGAAGACAATACAGCCAACAATGCATCATAATATGTTTCAATACTGTGTGAGCCATCACCATAAGTATAAGTTGACGATAAAATTAACAAGGTAGAAGGAATTTTTTGTCTTAATCTTAAATCCAACCAAGTTGCTAAATCGTCTCTCAACCTTCCAGGAGAAACATCAGTAGTCTTAATACCTCTCTGGGAACAAGCCATTTGTAATTCTTGGATACTTAATGATTCAACACCTTCGTAATCAATTGCTTTGTCATCTTTAATAATGGTCAATAAACGATGTCTGATTTGATAACGTAAGATAGAATCAGTACCAAATGGTCTTAAGGACATATATTTGGACATGGCAACCAATTGAGGACGAGATAAATTATCTAAAACTTGATCGTTCTTGAACATACGAGCTACCTGAATCAAATGTTCTCTGGTTGGATTCTTACCCATTGAAATAGTATGGAAGAAAGAAACGAAAGCCTCTTTTTCCTCTTCAGTAATTTTCTTAGATAACTTTAAACCAGATTCTTCCATAGTTCTTTTGATGTATTCAGAAGTGGACACTCTAGTCTTGGACAACTTTGCTCTCTTCTTCTTCTTGTCTTGTTTTGACTCATATGTTGAAGGTAACAAATTTGGGAAAATTTTCAAAGCAACAGGTAACAATAACTCTGCAAATGGAATAATAAGGAACATTGAAAATGGTACTAATCTTATCACATCTACAATAGTACGTTGCAACTGGTTTGCTTCTCTACGAGACAAGCCATACCCTAAGGCCATTTTAAACAACAATTTAGTTGACACTTTCATTTCATAACCTAACAACTTAGTTCCATCCCAATAATGTTGTGCTTCGTGCTTTACCTTTTCCCAAAGAGATTTTTTGTCTTTCTTCTCTTCAAGCTTGGTAACCTCAGTAGCCGGCTTGGATCCGCCGGACTTAACAAGTTCTTGAGTTTTATCATTATTCAATATATTTGATTGATATCTAATAAAGGATGTTACCAAAGGCAAATTAACCGTTTTTTTGTTCAAATTTCCATGGAGGGTAGGTTTCAATGGATATCTTAGGTTTTTGGTGGCGCTTTTGATCACTAGCCCTCGGGTACCTATCACTCCTACACCATTCGAAATACTTCCAGCCGTTCTCTTCGTAAGTAGAGTATGAATCATGATTATTTACTTAACAATGGATTTGATAACTTAATATAAATCCTAGCTGATTAAGATGGTTCAAATATAGTTACTTAGTTAAGAAGTACTAGCAAGTAAAATTAATGGAAAAAAAATGCGGTAGTGCACAATCAAAAAGAGCCTTCTAGCATGCCATAAAGGTTGCAATATTTCCTTTACACTAGATATATCTATTTGTGTATATAGCTAAGCTAAGTAATACAATTAGTAAGGCTACCACTATTACAAGACGTAGAGAAAATAACGACGTAAGGAAAATTAAAAATTTGTTAAAATTATTCATCATCTAATTTCAGGATCTTAGCCTGTTCCTTCGATTCACCATTGACACCGATAAAAATGACTTTATCAAGAAGAGTGTGATAGTCTTCATCTTCCCCATCAATTAAAATATTCAAACTTTGAACGTTTTGGAATCTGACAAATTTTAATTTGCATTCATACCACACTTCATCGTTGGTTTCAGTGATCTTTTCGATATGAGGAGCATTGGTGTCTGCTGAAGCGTCATCGAAAGACATAATACTATGTTTATTATGCCAGACCTTGATAAGGCTTGGATCTTGACATTCGCTCTTTAAGTCCTCCTCATCCAATTCCAATTCCGCATCGGAGGCAGTTTTATTATTCTTTCTAAGCTTGAGCAAGATTGAAGAAACCTTGGAAATGTTTGTAAATGGAACGTAAAACAACAACTGTGAATCAGCATCTGATAATACAGTGCTGGTTTCCTTAGTGTATTCGAGCCTGAAGAGATTTTTCACGTCAGAATCTTCTTCACCTTTGTAGAGAGGCAATGCATTCAAAGCTTCGAATTCACCAAAGTAAATAGAACCATTCAAGATTTCAAAGCCTTTAGGGATTTTATCGGCGATTTCTTTCCATGCCGAAGTTGAAACAGAAACACTGGTTGCACCATTACCAACTCTCTTGGTGGAAGTTTCGTCGTTAGCAGTTTTCTCTTTCATCGTGTGAAATTGCTTCATGAATTCTGGAACATTGGCTCCTGTAACCCTGCTGACCTCTTTACCATTTTCTAAGAAGACAAACGTAGGTATACTGGTCACTTGATACTGAGATGCCAAATCTCCCTGGGAATCCAAATCCACTCTAACGATTTCTATCCTTTCATTTGTTTCATCCGTATACAATGCATCTATTATTGGTTTCACCTGTTGACATGGACCACACCAAGAAGCCGTAAAATTCGCCACTAAATATTTGTTCTTCGATAAATACGCTTCGAAGTCCTTTGAAGACTTGACAAATTGGATCACCGAACTCATATTTTTAATATCTTAAGATGTATTAAACAAAAGTAGAACAATATCTAAACTTATTCTGCTAGAGATGGATCAACCAAATAGATAAATTGGTATCTAGAAGGAGTCTTATAATTCTGGCCAACAATGTAATCTATTGATAATCGCTGCGGAATTTCGTTTAGTGAGACAATCTTAACGGTCTTCTATAATCAATAATATTACAGATTATACACAACGTTGAATTAATATAAAAGGTTTGATACCAGAAAGGTTGAAATGGGAAATGAAGGTGGCTCAATGCCGTCAGGCTACGATAAGAATGGAGCAGAAACCCCTGCATCACCTTTGTCTGTGCTTAAGTTATCAAATATGCCATCTCCTACCAAGCAGAATCGAGAACATGATCAAGTTAGAAAATATGAACAAACACCACAAATAATACACAATAGGGTACCAGACGAAGAAGATGAAAAGCATGGAAAGTTAATCTCGACAGAAAGAAAAAATCCAGACGACTTTGGTTTCGATATTGTCCTTGATGACGACTTAGTGCTTAATCAATATCAAACTACAAGTAAGGGTCATAACAAAGAGAAGATAAAGAAAGCAGGTGAATTAGCATTGGTTTTTTTAGATACTAGAAAATCATTAATGGCTGATCAGAATATAGTAGATCCAATAAACAATGCGTCTAATTTTGATAATAATGGGTATATACGCAAACAGGAAGAAGGACAGGGAGCAAATGCACATAGAATAACTAGAAGTACAATAATTAGGGCCGAAAAAGTCAAGTCTATGATAGGGTTAAAGTACATTTACCTTCAAAAAAGTTATGACTGGTTAGTAACTAAT